AAAACAACAATTAAAAACATTCAATTCTTGTGCAATTTGTTTTTCATGTTTTTAATTTTTTTTTAATATGATAATAAAACAGGCCCTGAAGATGACAGTATAGAAACTGTCGCAAGCTCGGCGAAAACCGAAAGGAAGTTTTTCCCTGTGTTGACCTCTTCCGTAGATCCTCTGAAAAAAACTTCATTTTTAAATATTAGTCAATCGAATCAAGAGTTCACACTTAATAGAGAAATGTTTTGACATAACTATCCCACGAGGGGTGGCATGAATACAGACAGCATGGAAAGTCGTGAAACTAGACATAAACGGGCCCATTGTTTTCTTACTAATTCGACCTATCCGAAATTCATAATATAAAAAATGCAAAACAACCGAACTAGGATTAGACCACGGCAAAGCTCATTTTCAAAAACCGTAATGAAAGGTAATTTTCACCAAGCGCTTGACAAAACCGTACATCCGAGTTTTCCTCACTGTTGCCCAACGGGTTGCGTTTTTTTTTTTCGTTTTTTCTTTATTGCTGAATATCCTCTGGGCATTTCTTCAGCCTTCATCCTGCATTTTAAAACGCCTCTCGGTCTAAATATCACGGTAGCCGGACAAATTATGAAACGGCCGACAGTGGTAAAAGGAGCAGAAACTGCTCTTGTGTGGAAAAGCTGGCCAGTCGAGATCGAGTAACTGTACACCGCGGTTCATGTGTTTCGCAAAAGTGAGCACCTGGAAAAACCGGAGCTCAATTTTCCCCCATCTGCCCTGACGTCTGACAGCTCACTTAAGCATTTTTTGGGACGAGCTTTTATCACACGGTGGATTAGGTAAAATGGAGACTTTTTTTTTCTTGCGGAGGGTTTCACCTGTAATTCCTCAGTTGAACGAGAAAAATATCTTCTGACATATATTTCTAAAGATTCTCACTCAGATATACGTTTCGACCTTTAATATTATAATTTCATATTTAAAAAATCACGGATGTGGACAATTGGAAAGAAAATACTCATTGTCAGTCCTTCGTCGAGCTTAAAATATATCTCCTTCATCAAAACTTTCCAACTATAATCAATAATTTTCTTGATATCAATGTTTCCAGTCTTAATTCCGATTTATAATGAAATAATTATAGTAAACATTCCTCGAAAGCTTGACAAATGAACAAGATATTTTTCATTTCTTTAAATTCTCCTTATCTTTGATTTTTAATATAACTATTCAGAAATCGTGAGATGCGGTCTGGTGTGATGTAGGTTTCAGAAAAACATTTTCTTTATCGTGCCAACGTTTCGATCTTTATTGAGATCATCATCAGGGCCTGGGATTTACAAACATTGTTTAAATTTAACAAATACATGTAGGATTTGGAAAAAAGTGAATTTATACAATGCAAAATATTGTAGAAAGAATTTTAGTAGAAATACTTCGATTGAAAACAAAAAATATATTTTGCATTGTATAAATTCACTTTTTGAAGATGATCTCAATAAAGATCGAAACGTTGGCACGATAAAGAAAATGTTTTTCTGAAACCTACATCGCACCAGACCGCATCTCACGATTTCTGAATAATTATCGACTAACGGTCACTAATCACCACACATTTTAATATAACATCATAATTAATATTAACAAGGTTAATGCAATAAATATAAACATCTATTTGTAATAGCCGTAGGTTTCAATATGAAAAATAGATCTTCAAATTTTGTTTCACTTTTAACTGAAGAAGAACCATTTTCTTTCAACTTGGCCTTATCCATGATCTTTTTTAATATAAAATTATTCATATAGCTGTTAAATAATAATAAGTTTAATTTCTTTTGTTTAATTTTGAAAAATATTAAAACTCAATAATATTAAAAATATTAAAACGTTTGTTCGTAGTCTGAATAAGTACCACACTGGCTCTTTTTTAAAATAAACTGTTATAAAATATTGATGACTGACGACCACTGTTTTAACCATTGCGTTAACTCATCTGTGGAAGGATTAAAATAAATCCGAATCGTTGTGGATAAAAACTGGTTGTGGTTTTTTTTGAGATGACCTATTATCCTACCTTCAAGTCGGAAAAATCATAATTTTAGAATTGTGATCTTTACTATGACACTCCAAAAGTTTTTTTTTCCTTAAACAAACCAAGACAATGGATAATTACTAAGCTAGTTAACACTTGCCTCTCAAATTATTTCAAAAGAGTATAAAGAATTTTTCCATTAAATTAATCCTTTTTTGCACAAAATTACCTTTTATCTGTCAAATTAACTTTTTTTCCTTCAAATTAACCTTTTCCCCATCAAATTGACTCTATTACAATTCAAATTAGCCTTTTTTATTTAAAATCAACCCTTTCTTTAAAATCAAAAAACCTAGGAAATGATTATGTAAGCACATAAAATAAAATTTCTGCTAATAAAAAAAAATATAAATATAAAATAATTAGGCTCTTATAGGATATAACAATTAATTACAATTAAAATTACAAATAATGTAAAATAAAATATAAAAACAAACGGTTCTTCTTTTAATTTGAAATTGTTTAAATATAAAATAATTGGGCTTTTAAACGTAACGTAAAAAATTTTACGTTTTAATTGTAATTCATTCTCATGTGGCCTTCTAAGAGGTAAATTATGTTATATTAAAAGAATCTTAAAAATGCAGAAATTTTATTTTACATAGTTATATTTCATACTATCTCCTAAGTGTTTTAATGCATTAAAGAAAGGGTTCATTTGAAATTATGAGGGATTAATTTAAAGTTAAAAAGGTTTAATTTGAAGTTAAATAGGATTGGGATTTTACTTTACATTCTTATATTTTATATCCTCTCATAAGTTTTTAATGTTCTAAAAAAAGGTTATTTAAAATTAAAATGGCTGAATTTAAAGTTAAAAAATTATTTTCCAATGCAATAAGGCTCTATAAGCCAATAACAAATGAAACGGATAGTTTTCCCCCCTCCCCACGACAAACTGCAAAGTCATAGTTGGAAAATGGATTGTTATTTGAGATTCGAGTTTTCCCCTCAGGGCTTCATCAATTGTGGATAAAATAACACAAATATACAGAAACATAGAAACAATATAAAAACATGGTAGTCTGTGGTTAGCATAATTGGAGGTTTGCCTCCCCCCCATTCATGCTAATAAATTACATTCACACGTCATTCACACTTTTATTAGTTTGTAGGTTTAATAAATTTAGTAAAAATTCAACGTACTAAACAAATCATGCTGATTTCTGGGCAAAACTTTGAATTTTTATTGAACCACCTACATTTTTATTTCTAAGAATAATTTATTTTTTGGTAAATCTGACCCTTGTTTTATGAAAATAAGAGTTTGATTTAGTAGTTATGAATTTTTAAGATTGTGAAAACATTTTTTGGCCATTTTTCTCAAATCACCAAATAAATGCGAATAGAAAATATCATTGTTTGCACTTATAGCTGATATTCATTGTGTTAGTCCTGATTTGTTTTTTTTTGTTTTTTAAATTTCTCGATTATGAATTGTTTAATTTTTGCCAACATAACCAAGAGATCAACTTAATGTTTACATTATTTTATATACAGGGTATTTCATGAACATAAGTCAATATTTCAGGATGTTATCTTACATATAAAATTTGAATAAAAAGTTCCTATTCTCTACAATCTGACCTCAATTGTATTTGAGATATTTTACTTTTTCAGGTGTACTTAATTTCTCAAAGGTCAGTTATCACCAATATAATGTCACAGAACCTTTGAGGACATGGTTGTCATGTCTGACGACCACTTTTTTAACCATTGCGTTAATTCACCTGAGGAAGGATTAAAATAAATCCGAAACGTTGTGGATAAAAACTTGTTGTGGTTTTTTTGAGATGACCTATTATCCCACCTTCAAGAAGGAAAAATCATAAGTTAAACTGTTGAGGTCAAAATATAAGAAAACATCTAAAATTATGCTCATACAATGGATGGAAAAACCCAATTAAGGTAAAGGGAGGGATAAATGGGAGTCGTCTACCTGTAAAAGAACAGATGAACGAATTACAACTAAATTAAAACAAAAATCAGTGTCAAAGGTCTGAAAATAACCCAAATCAAAATGTTCAAAAAGAAGCCTGCAATTACCTGGCGTTTTCATCGGCTTTTTGGCCATTGTTGTTTTACTCTCTTTTCTTTTTAACTCTTCTGCCTTCGTATAATTAAAGATTCACACTCCGGCACAAATTTTTTTCCAGTCATCGTGCGATGGAGCGTCCTGCCGGGGTTTAATTACGGTCAATTTTCTTTGCATTTTCCATAGACCATGAGATTAAAAAACATTTAATAGGAGATACTAGTGCAGCCATCATGAAATCTGCATTTGATCACATACAAAATATTTCCATTTGAAGAAATAGATTTTATATTTTTTGAACCTATCATTCCTCAGCTCTTATTTCTTCCTATGTTCTTAACTTTGAAAAATGCTTTGATGGCTCAGGGCCTGATCAGTAGAGATAAAATATATGGTATAATAAACATAATATACTTTATACATATATTAAAAATGTATACGTTTAACACATGGTAGTCTGGTTAGTACTCATAAGTCACTACATGTACTGGATATTCTACAGAGATAGGGGAACAAGCTCCTCCATTCGTGCTAATAAATTACATTCACACTCCAGACTTCATTCACACTGCCCCAGAATACTCTATAATCCTCAGGGTCTTGCAGCTTGCAAATTGTTGGCTGAACAAGTCGAGAAAAGGCAGATCATGATGATCAAACTAATGTCAACATTAACATGTATCAAATATTTAAAAAAAATTCAGCAGAAAAATCCCTAGACGAAGGGAGACAAATTGCAACTTTGTGTAGCTAAATAGCAATAGTAATGGAAATATTATAGTACAGAATATTTCTCTAATTGAAACAATAGCTTGATTTCATGATTAATGTGTATTAAAAAATGAATTAATAATTGACAAAGTGATTAATTTTTGTTGTTTTATTTGTAAGGCTGTATCAGTTATGAGGTGCAGCGGAGTACTCGAACTCATCGTAAGGAAAGGCGCCGGACTCGAGCTCTTCCCGGGGGAGTCTTCCGGTTACAACAGCTCTGCGAGCAGTGTGGCAGGCGACAACCCACCCTCAAGGCTGTCAGTCCTTCACGAGGAATCCAAGTAATACACTTTACCTACATGATTCCGAATCAATGAAACATTTTGAATTTTATTTTTCTTAGATTGTAAAAAGAATCTAAATTTAAATTAGGACCAAGAGCCTCCGACAGGAGCTAGAAGGCGCTTGTTGTTCAAGGAGCACTAAATGTTTCAATGGACAGTTCTACTATCGCGGAAAATGGTTGGGGACAAATGATCCTTCAACCAGTCCCGGCTCCACCGATTATGTCCATAATCCTTTATTTGAAATGCGGTGTGTTCTATAGGCAAAAAAATGAAAATTTTGTCATCTAATATCACTGTTTTGCCGCTTATCACATTAATAAACATTGTTCGCCTTGTTTGCATTGACAACAGCACACTGTTTTTTTTTAATAAAATTTTTAATTGTGTACTCAACGGTGATGGCGTGTGTTTTGATTGGGCAAATAAATTATTTTTTACCTTCTTTTTTTTTTATTTGTGTTTTATTTTTCAGTCACAATGGATTCAACGATGCTTGCATTGAGCGAAATGGAAATGGCCAAAACCGTTCTGATTATTCTAACGGCTGCACTGTCATCCATGTAGGTGGTGATGAACCTGACTCCACAGCGAACAAAAAGGTATCCTGAAAAAAATTATTCAACCAACAACAAAATGTTTTTTAAACTGGTCGTTTTTCTTTCCAGATTGCTGAAATTTGCATGGTTTCACAACAGCTGGAGACAAAGACGACGACTGTGTTTGTTGAGGTGCACCACAGCGAAGATGACACCGTCTCCCACACTCAAGTGAGTTCACCTTATCTTTGTGCATATTTGCCTGACCTTACGTTAACAAACACATTATGAATTACACAATATTTGATTAATGCCGCATGTAAATTTCCACAGTCTGACACCAGCACTGATAGACTCACAAACTCTTCTTCGGTTAGCTCTTTTACAAGCAGTGCCAGCAGCCTGAGCAGTGCTATTAGCCAAGAGCTTGAAAGGCGATCTAAAGTAAGTTATCAGTTTACAAATATACTGATAAATATTTATCGTCATTTAAATGATAAGAAAAATATTTAAATTGCACTTATTGGCTTTTTATAACCACATAATTAATCTGTTTAAGAAATTTCCAATTTAATCAGTATTAGGTTTTATATCTAGACCAAAAACGGATTTTTAATTTTTTACCTGTTACTCCTATGCCTTTTAAAAAATTTAATTAAGAAATAATGCATTCTTTTTCACTTCTTGCACTTTTAAAAAGAATCATTTAGTCATTAAAAATTAATCAAATAAATTAAGATACAATTTCATGCAAATAATTAAACAATTGGGTTAAACCATAAGATCAAACGTTATATATAAATTTATATTTATTAGGTTTCATGGTCCGCTTGACCAAATAAATTCTTTTCAATTAATTAATGTTTTGGTTGAGATAAAAAAAAGTCAGCGTCACGAGCGGGATTCGAACCCACGACCTTCGGCTTGATACACCGCTGCTCTACCACTTGAGCTATCGTGACTTCGATCCACTCGGACACATGACTCTCATCACTGTAAGGCAAAGGTCCAGGGATTTGAATGCAGGGTCGCTGGAAACTTACAAATGTGGCTTTTTTTTTTTTTTTTTTTTTTTTTTTTTTTTTTCAAAAACACTGAGGAATCATATAAACTCTTAGTTGAAATACCCTTGTAAAAGAAAAAAAGAAAATTACTTTTTATTCTTCTAATGTTGTAATGTATCTGAAAAATAAAAATTTAATTATTGTGAGATTTCCACTTGGGGTCTGCGGATTAATGAGTAGGTTGGTCATTTTCAATTGTTTGGTCTACTATCCTCACTTTTCTGTATGTATGGCTGCTTACCATCATCAATACTGGGTTTGAAGCAAGATCAATCATACTACTGATATAAAATCTTGATAAATTAATTAAGGTTTTTAGTTGAGATAAAAAAGTCAGTGTCACGAGCGGGATTCGAACCCACGACCTTCGGCTTGATACACCGCTACTGTACCACTTGAGCTATCATGATAGTGCTAGTTAGTGCCCGAGTGGATCGAAGTCACGATAGCTCAAGTGGTAGAGTAGCGGCGTAGTGCTAGTTAGTGCCCGAGTGGATCGAAGTCACGATAGCTCAAGTGGTAGAGTAGCGGCGTATCTACCCGAAGGTCGTGGGTTCGAATCCCGCTTGTGACACTGACTTTTTTAATCTCAACCAAAACATTAATTAATTGAAAAGTTATATATAAATATCGACAACAATTTCACATTCTCTTGATAATTTCAGAGGACACCTGCTGAAATCGCAGCGAAGACAAACCACCAGACGGACAAGCTCATCAAATCTGGACTGGCCAAGGAGAAAGTACAACAACACGAACAGTTAATGCAGGAATTCAGAAAAGCACATAAGAAAATGTTTTCCGGCGACCAACAAGAGAATGTTAACGATGAGGTAAAGTTTTATTTCCAATTAATAAATTATTCATAACCGTAACATTCCAGTTTAATGAAGTTACGCTAGTCTGATTCGCCGAGCATATTACCTCATCCACTTTTCAAATATTTAATTGGTTACATATCTTTTGCAACTCCTGATATAGTTTTGAGTTAGTTCCCATCGGGAGTTTCGTGAATGAGTATCGTGTGAACCCACTCGTGAAATGGATTCTAAGCCAGTCCTCTTTCAAATTAGGACTTACATTGTATACAATTTTTTCTGCCTGTCTTGAGAGGATTTTCCATTTTTACATTTTGTTTAATTTCAAGGAGAGAGAAGAGACAAGACTGGCAGCTGAGCAGAAGGTGAAAACCAACGGGGAAACAGAAAAAAAATTAGAAGAGCGCAAGACAGAAACCGAGAGGACAAATAAACACCAAACAGCACCACCACCACCTCCTCCTGTAAGTTTTTAAGATTTTTTTAATATAACAACATCAAAATAAACGCAATATATTCGGCACATTTCACACAATGTTCAAAGAAACATGTATGTTAATATAAATTGTTGAACCAGATGGTTTCACTGTCTCATTCGGAGATAAATATAGCAACTTGAACGAATTGTTTACTCTTTGTAATCTAAACAACACATTTACAGTTTTAACAAGTATGTGCTCCAAAGCAATAAATTTATGTGATATGACATAAGCACTACAATTGTAAAAATAGCTTATTTGTTACATCAAGGTATTGGAACAATAGACCCAAAAATACAAAAGAAAATCTTACAAAATTTTTAATGTATATCCCTTATTAATTGAATACATTTTGTGCAAATCAGGGCTCCACAAAATTTTAGGATAACCCCAATTCTAATACAGTACGAATAACTCCCTCACACTGATAGAAGGCTGTATAACATCTCCAAACAAACCAATTACTGAAGTGTATTAACATAAACTATATATGAATTTGCTAATAGCGAGAGCAGGATAAAATTTATAAAATGAGGCATAATGTTAATACAAATTTTAGTAAAAAATATATATATATATAAAGAACAATATGAAAAATCACATAAAAAGTTCTAATATTACATGCAATAAAAAATGTCTTTTATGATAATAAAATTAATAATGGCAAACTAAAAGAAGATATTAATATGGTTAATGAATATGTACAAAAAAAAAAGGAACAATCCGACAGAGTATAGAAATTATGAATGATGGAGTGGGTGTGGAGTTCAATCCAAATGTTTTGAAAAAACAACGGGTAACTAGAAATATTTATTGATCGGTTGCTAGTTAAAAAAATAAACTTTAAAAGAATCAACAATAGGACTCAGCCACCACATCATAAGTGAATCATTAGGTTTCCGTTGTTTGCCATACATTGGTGAATTATCGCAAAATGTTAGTAAAATTTTTAAACAAGAACGTTTCAGAATAGCTTTTAGAAGTGCGAGGTCACTAAAAAACATCCTCTCAAAACCTAAAGAGTTGGCAAAAAGCGGGGTTTACCAACTCAATTGTAATGACTGTAATATTAAATATATAGGTCAAAGCGGTAGAGAAATAAAAATGAGAGTAAAAGAACACTTGCCTAATTCGAGCAAATTTTCGGAATTTAAGGACCATCTAAAAGAAACAAAACATAATTTCAATTCAAATCTAGAGTGTTACATCATCTAGAGTGTGTTTCAATCTTCACAAGAATGTTACATAGTTTCAACAAAGGGAAAGAATTAGAGTGGTTTGAGAAATTTGAAATTAAAAAAATGTAAAATTGAACATGGAGATAAATGCATTAATAATATAACAGATTTTGAGCTACCTCCCATTTTAAATATGTACATAAATAATATTAAACGTCCAAATAATTAAATTAATTATTTTAATTGTTATTATTTTTATAATAATTTAATAATATTAAGATATTATTCTAATTTTTTTAAAATCTTTTAATCTCTTAATTTAATTACTTAATCAGTATTTACTATTATAATAGTTATTTGTGTTATAATTCCCGCTTTTCACACGTTCAAATTGAGCGCCATTAAAAAACCAGCCCCTCCTCATTGGAACGTCGCGTTGGCATTAAACTTATTAAATTAACTGGTTTTCGTGGTCCGCTTGACCAATTATATCTTTCAATTAATTAAGGTTTTTAGTTTAGATAAAAAGTCAGTGTCACGAGCAGGATTCGAACCCATGACCTACGGCTAGATACGCCGCTGCTCTACCACTTGAGCTATCGTGACTCAGACACTAACTTCCCATCTCAACCTCACCTTATTCTTGAATAACTTTGAAATGAAGTATACCTTCACTAAAGCTCTCCGTGGCCATTTCATTTTTCCTGAGAAACAAATTGATTACACGACATTTGAAAAATGGCAAAAAGGAGGCAAAATTCGAAAGGTGTGGTTGAGATGGGAAGTTGATGTCCGAGTGGATCGAGGTCATGATAGCTCAAGTGGTAGAGTAGCGGCGTATCAAGCCGAAGGTCGTGGGTTCGAATCCTGCTCGTGTCACTGACTTTTTTATCTCAATTAAAAACCTTAATTAATTGAATGATATTAATTGGTAAAGTGGACCACAAAAAATAGTGAATCTTGATAAAGTTAATAAAAAATAAAAAAATTGAACAAACTGTCAATATTTTAAATATCAATTATAAAAATAACATTGTAAAAATTGCTGTTTTAGTTTGTAATAATACAAACACATAAAATTAAATTCTAGTTACCAAATGGAAAAGAAAAGGAGAAAGTGGTCTACAAGCCGAATCATCCTTCAACCAAAAAGTATCCAGCCCCGATGCCACCTGCTCCGCCATCGCCTCCTTACTGTCCAACTCCTGATTACGACACGACAAGTTTAGCATCGGACAGTATAGAAGAAAATGATAAACGATCTCAGAAGAACAGTCAAAAAGGCGACATCGTTGAAATGCAGAGCCTTGAGTCGTTTAAGCTCACCAACCCCTCAAAAGTGAAGCCTAAGCCACCCAACACATACTTCACCCAGAACCCCAGCTTGACTTCTGACACCAGCAATGGGTATTTTATATCATCAATTAATCGAGAATTTTTTTTTTAATTTTCTTTTTCATTTTTAGAACGGCAAGCACATTACCAATTAAAGACAAACCAGTTGTCACTATAAGAGAATATCCAGGAGGTAAAGAAAGAAAAAATCCAGCTAAATTTGATTTTCTTCAAAACATTCCTCCTCCTGTCGCTAATGATGGAGAACCCATTGGTGCACGGTTGCAGAATGAACTTTCACACACTTTGTCACGAGCGACAGTATTGACAAAAAATGAAACACAGGTATTGTTTTTTTGTTTTGTTTTTTTTTTTTTATTGGCAAAATTAGAAGCTTTTATGATTATAACTTAAATTTTCAGGTCACTAATTTCAATCAGAATGGCCAGAATAAAAAAGGAACTGTCGTCATGATTAACGGTACATCGAATCAAGAACCTGCCAAGCCATTTTATCTTTTTCCAGCCAACCAGATGAACTCGGCAGACAGCAAGAAAATTACCAGCATAATTCACTCGGTCAACAAGCCTTATGCAAACGGCAGACCAAAGAGCAACATCGTCGAGAACGGAACTAAAAACTCAGTCACGTTCAATTTCAGCAACAAGACTCAAGAAGTGAGAAATGTAAACCACACTCAGCCAAATGGTATTTTGAAAAACGGCAATAACAACATCGCCCAAATTCAGATTCAGTCTATCGACAAGACGCACAAGTCAATCAAGTTCGGCGGGTCTTGAACCGACTTACCCCTCGGGTTTTAATATTACGTGCCTTTTAATATTACTATTTTGCTACCGAATTGACTGAGTGCGATTTTCGCTTAAATTCCTAGACAATAACATAAAAATTTAATATTTTACACAAATATCTGCTAGAAAACGAGTTTGTAAAATTTTGTACATAAATACTTTTAGTTCATTAAGGAATCAGACTTGTCTCACTATACTTTGAAAATAGTTAAAAATTAATTTTATAGGTGTTCCGTAGTTTAAAAAAAAATCAATAATAATTTCCTTAAGTTATGATTAAAAAATTATATACTTAATTTTCAGTATTTGTTTCTATAATAACACATGGTATAATTTAATATCATACAGTTTTTCTTTTAGTTGTAAGGGAAGAAAATATAATGTTTTTTCTAGTCAAATTCTTCATAAGTAGTTATTAGAAAATATATAAATATAGAAAAAACAAAAATGTATACAAACAACCGTATACTCAAAAAAGTGGTATAAACATATTAGTTACATGTATAAAAATCTGTCCTTTTTGCAATACCTAATTTTACTTGAGTTGAAATGTAAAATATAAAAACAAAAAATTGTTAAAACATAAACCATATTTCCATGTTTACTCATGAAATAAAAATAAAAACGATCCATGGAGTTTTAAAAATATATCTTTATTTATAATATTTTTTTACAGATATGATTTAAATGGTATTATTTCAGTTGAATTTAATTCAACTATTCTACTAATTCAATTATTATTTTAATGTAATAACGACAATTTCAAAATAAAACGTTCTCAAGTGTAATCATTTGGTTAATAAATATTTAATCAAAGATAACTCCAGATAATGACCACTTATGAACCTAGTTTTTTTCCTTAATAATCTTAATAGATGCTGATTTGTAAGGTAAGAATATTTTATATAAGGTTAGATGGATCATGTATGATTTTGTGACCCCTCACCCTGGTTGATGGTGACTAGGAAGCAAGATTGTGCTCCCCAGGCACGCTTTCTGGCTTATTGTACCTTCCACCCCCTGGAAAGGTTAAAAAAACATTACAATAGAAAAATAGAGGGGAAAGGTATATATTTTTAAGATTCAAGAATTCATTATGAGTATTACAACAGTGTGAACTTCAGGTCGCACTTGGGCCAACACCTGAGGAAATGATAATACAAAAGAGAGTACCTCCAAGTCCAAGGGTCACCCTTGCATTAGCCTTGATTATCTGAATAATTAGAAAATACGATGTGATGATATTTATGAATCAATTTATGATTATAATCAAAAAAATATGTAGGTGATAGTAGGATGCCATAAAAATGGTTTTTAACTCACTCCGTTGAGAATATTTGATTTTTAAGTTTTTTCAAAAATTGATTATTCAGAGATCGTGAGATGCGGTCAGGTGTGATGTAGGTTTCAGAAACACATTTTCTTTATCGTGCGAACGTTTCAATCTTTATTGAGCTCATCTTCAGGGCCTGGGATTTACAAACATTGTTTACATTTAACTAATACATGTAGGATGTGGAAAAAAGAGAATTTATACAATGAAAAATATATTTTTTTTATTCAATCAAAGTATTCTACTCACTCAGTTTTTTCTTCTTCTGTGTAATTGTGCCATTCTTGCGTGTCGTGTTGAGAGTGCTAGTGAGATATTGCTGTTTTATGTTTATATACGTTTTGGATTCTGGAGGGGTGGGGAAGGAAAACAGAAAAAGTTTTTACAGAAACGCAAACAAATAACAGGACTGTATTGTCTATATATGCACCCAGAGTCTCCAGGGTCTAGTTAGCAGTCCTTCTACTTCCTAGGCTTAGTAGTTCTGCCATTTGTTTCTGCAATGATGCTTTAATGAACTTTTTTGCTTCCCTCTGCCCTGGAATACATTCCTATTAAACAGAAGACATACTTTTCACCGACTTGATGGATTAAAATTGGCCAATTTGTTAACCTCCTATGTGTCAGGTTAGAAGGTGATCAGCGTCTTTACGATCATACCCTCCTTGACCAATATTGGTCTATTGAGCCATATAGCTTTTTATTAGATCCCAAAGCTTTGTTAAAGACTCCTGTGTGTATTCTAGGTCTCAGCTTTTCCTCCCAGCCTGGCCTAAGTCTTCGTACGTACAAATGATGTGTTCAGCTGTTTCCTCTTCTTCCTGACAATATCTGCAATTTTATATTGTACACGTTTTTTACAGAAACACTAAAAATAACAGGGCTGCGTTGTCTATACATGTGCTTGGAGAGTCTCCAGGATCTAGTCAGCAGTCTTATTATCCTAGGTTTAGTAGTACTGCCATTTGTTTCTGCAGTGATCTTTTAACAAACTTTTTTGCTTGCCACTGTCCTGAAATGCATTCCCATTGAACATAAGACATACTTTTCACTCATTTGATGTATTAAAATTGGCCAATTTGTTAACCTCCTATGTGTGAGGTTAGAAGGTGTCAGCCTCTTTATGACCTTACACACCTAGACTAATCTTGATCTATTGAGCCATATATATTAGTGTACAGAGCTCTTTGTTAAGCTTAAAGCTTTTTTATTAGTTATTATTATTTTATTTAAAGACTCCTGTTGTATCCTAGGTCAGCCTGCACAGGCCTTCGGACCTACAGATGGCATGTTCCGCAGTTTCCTCTTCTTCCTGGCAATATGTACAGAGGATTTTTACAAAAACACAAACAAATAATATACCCTGCGTTATTTATGTTGCATTAGCTATATGTGTGAAGTGTGCAGTGTCTAGTCAGCAGTCCTTCTACTATCCTAGGTTTAGTAGTTTTGCCATTTGTTTCTGCAATGATCTTTTAATGAACTTTTTCGCAACACCTTCTAATAATTGAATAAATTCTTATTGAACAGAAAACTTTTCACCCGATGGATCTATGTTTATGGCAATTTGGCAGTGAAAGTGTTCCGGGCTGACAGCTGTCATTATTGAATTATTGTTGGTCAATTTATTGACCCCCCCCCTGTGTGCCCTGATACCCAAACAGCAATTTTACTATGCTGTAATCATCCCTAACCATTGCCTCCAATGTCTGACAGGGTAAAAATTGGATGAGCTATTGGTACAACATGAACGATCCATTTGTATGAATTTCAAAAATCTAGTGCTGTATTGGGATTTTTTTAATGAAACACCATTGGTCTATGGTCAAAACTATAGGCATACTATTTCTGTAGCCTTTTTTTTTTTTTTTCACATTTTGGCAAGAATTGGTTTGAATTGGCAGATACAAATTGATCATAGAAAAATCACAAATTGTCTAGTGTTGAATACTGTTGTAAAATATTTTTGTATTTATTTTAAAAAAAATCTAATTTTACTTTGAAATGTTGAGAATAAAAATAAATTACTGCTTCTATACAGAATTTTGAAACTACAACGCAATATTTTAGAATACAGATTTTCTTGTTATATTTTTATTTTATTGTTTTATTTTTATTTAATATGTTATCATATTGATCATTTCAACGCTTATTTTTATTACAGGTTATTTATTATTTTTATGATATTTAAAAAAAATATTATGTACATAAGGTGAATTGGGGCTATGAAATGTGCCATAAGCTTTTAATAAATAATTAAGGCAGATACAATTGTAATAAAAATAAAATTGTATTCGTGTGAAAAATCTTTGTCGAAAGTGGTTGGAATTTGGAAATGGATTTGTGAATTTTTCCGGGAAAGAAAAAATAAATAAATGGAAAAGGGTGGCTGGGGCGGATTTCCAGTGAGACGTCGGAGCGGGGCGGAGGCCGGAGGACAGTAGAGGTTGAGGTAGTGGTAGGCTGTGTAGAGGGAGTGTTGTGTTGTTTGTTCCGAGTCGGCCATCTTGAAAGCTGGAGCCGGTGACAGAACGGCAAAATCGCGTCTTGCGGCTCGTCTCAGCGGCTTAAAAGCTCACGGCGAAGATACGACAGACGAGGAGTCGCTTTTTTCGATCGGCTCAAACGTTTCGAGGCAGCCCGGGGCCCGTTTTGTCCCGTTTCGACGCCGCCGGCTCTCCGTTTCCACGGGAATTTCTTCTTTTTTCGACTCCCGATCCCGATCACGGGGGTGGGATTCGGACTTCCTCCCCCTTGGAGAAACGCCGAAGGGTGCGGGTTTTCCCGTCGGTGAGACTCCCCTTTTTTTATGGGACTTTTCCACCTCGGACGAGGGTTTTAATCTTTTTCAAAACAGTTTCGACTACATCCGTGAGTATCATCCCTATTCACATCTACATTTATTCGTTTTAAGAAGGTTTCTAACAAAAAAAAAAAATAAATAAACACAATATTTACATTTTTTTAAACAAATAATTTAACATATGCTCTCCCAAAGCTTGTTCGCTTAGCCAGACATTCACTCCCACCCATTTAACTTTTATTTCCAATCAAATCTATCACCTCTACTGATAAATATCTCAAAACAAAACATTTCAGATCGATATTTTTTTAAATTGATAATATGATGATTCAACTCTCCATCATTCATTCCTTATTCAATGGCTAATTCATATTTTGGTTTTGCTAAAGATTATACGAACTGGTCGAAAACAGTTTTTTTTTACTTCAATCTTCCCTGTCACACCCATTCCGTCATTCACTGCAATGCAATTAATCACAGCCATTCAACCGCACACTCGTTCTGTCGTTCATTCAGATTCATTCACTGGTCCGCTCACACTATTTTCACGCTGGTTAACCCATTACATCAAAAACAATTCATTATCAAACTCGTTCACTTTCATTCGCTCAATCACACTCATTAATTCACTTGTTCTCTCGTTTTATGTAACACGTCAATTTATTCCATCAGGCTGGTTCAGTAGCTCTGTTTCATCTATTGTATCACTGTCACACTCGCTAATTCCCTTCTTCAGTCGCCTATCACACTCGTTAACTTACTCTATCAAACTCGTTCTCTAGTCTATCACACTCGTTAATTCACTCTTTAAAACTTATTAATTCACTTGTTCATTCGGTTAATTTATTCTATCAAACTGGTTCAATAGCTCAATTTCACCCATTGTTTCATTGTCACACTCGTTAATTCAGTTGTTCACTCGCTGTATCACATTCGTTTATTCGCTCAATCAAACTCATTAATTTGTGTTCACTCGCTCTGTCACACTCGTTAATTTACTCAATCCAACTTGTCAACTTAGTCTATCACACTCGTTAAATCACTCTTTAAAACTTATTGAATCACTTGTTCACTTGCTCTATCGAACTCGTTAATTTATTCTATCAAACTGGTTCAATAGCTCAATTTCACCCATTGTCTCACTGTCACACTCGTTAATTCAATTGTTCACTCATCTATCACACTCGTTAATTTATTCAATCAAACTCGTTAATTTACTATATCAAACAAGTTTACTAATCTAACACACTCGTTAATTTTTTCAATCAAACAGGTTCATACTAACACTCTTGTTAATTTTCAAAATTCAACTAGTTCATTCATTTGTTCACTCGCTCTATCACATTCGTTTACTCGCTCAATCAAACTCATTAATTCGTGTTCACTCGCTCTATCACACTCGTTAATTTACTCAAACTCGTTAATTTACTATATCAAACAAGTTTACTAGTTTATCACACTCTTTAATTTACTCGTTCATTCAAAATGAGCTTACTCGTTCATTCATTTGTTCACTCGCTCTATCACACTCGTTAATTTACTCAATCAAATTCGTTAATTTACTATATCAAACAAGTTTACTAGTCTATCACACTCGTTAATTTATTCTATCAAACAGGTTCATTCTAACACTCTTGTTAATTTTCAAAATTCATCTAGTTAATTTACTCGTTCATTCATTTGTTTACTCGCTCTATCACACTCGTTAATTTATTCTATCAAACAGGTTCATTCTAACACTCTTGTTAATTTTCAAAATTCAACTAGTTAATTTACTCGTTCATTCATTTGTTTACTCGCTCTATCACACTCGTTAATTTACTCAATCAAACTCGTTAATTTACTATATCAAACAAATTTACTAGTTTATCACACTCGTTAATTTACTGGTTCATTCAAAATGAGCTTACTCGTTCATTCATTTGTTCACTCGCTCTATCACACTCGTTAATTTACTCAATCAAATTCGTTAATTCACTATATCAAACAAGTTTACTAGTTTATCACACTCGTTAATTTACTCAATCAAACTCGTTAATTTACTATATCAAACAAGTTTAAATCTATCACACTCGTTAATTGATTCTATCAAACAGGTTCATTCTAACATTCTTGTTAATTTTCAAAATTCAACTAGTTAATTTACTCGTTCATTCATTTGTTTACTCGCTCTATCACACTCGTTAATTTACTCAATCAAACTCGTTAATTTACTACATCAAATTGGTTCAGTCGCTCTATTTCATCTATTGTCTCACTCACACTCGTTAATTCAATGGTTTATTTGCTCGATCCTAATTCATTAATTCACTGACTCTATCACACTCATTAACTTACTCTATCTAACCGGTTCCCTAGTCTTATCACACTCGTTAATTCACTACCAAACTTGTTTACTTATCAAACCCAATGTCCAAGTTTGCGAGTCAATCTTTTTATTGGCTCAAAAAATTCGATGATCTTTTCCGGATAATTTGATCTTTAAAATTGGAACACAAGAAGTTAGTTTCAAAAACTTGGCTTTTGCCAACTTAGTATTTGCTGGTATACGCTTGGGAAATGAATTATCAACTAGTTAACACCTTTGACATGATTTTAATATAAGTATGTACAATGTTTGAGTTGTTGTAATATAAACTTGATCTGCTACTTATATATAACTTGAAGAAAAATTATACACAAATTCTAAAAAAATAGAATATCCGGAAAAGGACACAAATAAATTATAATATATCCCTCTTCTTCTTGGAAATTTTTCGTTTAAGAAATTATAAATTTATAAATATAAACTTGAAGAAAAATTTCCAAGAAGAAGAGGGATATATATTATATATTATAATTTATTTGTGCCCTTTTCCGGATATTCTATTTTTTTAGAATTTGTGAACCCCTTTGCAATTTTGGCAGTTCGAGACGATCGTCGCTCAAGAAGAAGCCAAAGATGTTCTTAAAAGTCTTCTGAAATGGTTGTTCCGAAAGTTCTTCCAGTTCTTCTGAAATAATTATGAAACGTCACTGTGTACGACACAGTTGGAAAAGCGTAATAAATTTATTCAAACTGAAACAAATCTGAAAAACATCTAACATTAAAAATAATAAGAATTTTGAAACGGTAAAAAAACAGCCACCCTGAAAGTAGAGGATTTTGACATAAAAGGGACAAAATCTGCCAACCCGCTTAAGATACGGGTTTCGAATTTTTTTAAGCGGTAATATAAAAGGTCTATCAATATTTCTGTGATAGCTGCAATAGTCTTCTTGCTGTAGATTTTTTCAGACCAAAAGTTTCAAAAAAGCTCGTGGTAAACTTTTGAGTTTCATAATGAAGAAACACGCGTATCAAATTTCATTGAAAATGTTCAGTAGTTTCTGTGAAAAAACGTTCTGATGGTTTGTCCATTCCCACCTTCCTCCAACCCTGTAAATACTACCCGCCTGGGTCCCCTTAACACACTCAATCGAATTTGTTAACAAACAAGTTCACTCGCTCTATCACACTCTTTGACTCTCACAACTCTCTCTATCACTTTTTTTTCCTACGAGGGTTCGCAACCCTCGGGGGTCCGGTGTTTTTGGGAAAAAAAAACATTTGTAACTATGTCGGGTTCGAATGCAGGGCCGTTGGATTCGAACCCGGGACCTTTACCTTACAGTGATGAGCGCCGTGTCAAAGCCTAAACCGTTGCGGCCACCGACGCCCCCTATCACACTCGTTAATTCACTTGTTCACACCCCTATCACACTTCTTCACTCACTCTATCAAACCTGTCCACTCCCTCTAACACCCTCATTGGCTGACTATGCATACTTGTTAACTGACTTCTTCACTCTATTACACTCGTTAATTCACTCTACCACTCATGAACTCACTTGTTCACGCCCTCTATCACACTGCTTAGTTACTATTCGTTCATACCTTCCTCACTATTACACTCGCTAATCTTCTCCATCACACTCATTAACTGACTTTCAAATCTGTTTACTCTATCTCACTCGTTAACTCACTTCTTCACGTGCTCTATTATTCTTGTTAGTACTCTCTACCACACTCTTCAACTCATTCTATCACTCAACAGTTCACTGTATCACTCATTAACTAATTCTGTGACATCTTCCTCATTATCACACTCGTTAATTCACTCTACCACTCATTAACTCACTTGTTCACACCCTCTATCACAGTGCTTAATTGCTATTCATTCATACCTTCCTCACTGTTACACTCGCTAATCCTCTCCATCACACTCGTTAACTCACTTTCAAATCTGTTTACTCTATTTCACTCGTTAACTCACTTCTTCACGTGCTCTATTATTATTACACTCGTTAATTCACTCTATCACACTCCTTAACTCACTCTATCAAACCTGTTCACTCCCCCTATCACACTCATTGATTAACTATCCCACTTGTTAATTCACTTCTTCACTCCCTCCATTACACTCCTTAATTCACTCATTAACTTACTTGTTCGCTCTCTCTATCACACACATTAACAGACTCTAACCCTCTACCATACTCCTTAACTCAGTTTTCATTCCCTCTATCACATTCATTACTATCACTCTCAATAACTCACTCATTCTATCACAATTGTTAATTCACTCTTATCAAATTCTTTAACTCAATTTATGACATGTTATCTCACTATCACACTCATGTTCGTATTCTGTATCACCTTGTCTGCTTGTACTTTATTACAATAGGTCAATGTTATGCTTTCTGTCATATCATAAAACATTAATTTATTTCAGATTTATAGTTTTTTGTTTTGCGTTAGTACCAGTTCTTTAGAAAATATCGACCAAAATTCAAATTTGTAAAAACTATGACATTCGTTTTTGTGCTTGTTTTTTAAATTATTTTATTAATTTTTTTTTAACTGAAGGACCTATATTTTTAAAAATAGGGTGGTGAAAAATCTAAAATAAACAATTTGATTGACAACAAGTATATCTGGGCCATGTCAATCTTCATTTATTCATTCAAAACTTAATTATTATTAAATTAACAATTTTTAATCGTGTTAGGAACAGTTTTGTTATTTACATGTTTGTACCATGTGTTGAACCAATTAGCACAAATAGTTCTGTTATAGCCGCTATTGACTATCTGAAATGAGTTTGTCGTTATTATCCGCCTGGCCAAGGACAAATAAAAGGAATTGATGCCCTTGGATGTAATCATTCTAATGTATTATCTTGTAAAATGAGAAAATGATAATTCAGTTTCATTTTTAATATAAATTTAAATAGGCATTCTTTTTTTATATTTGTCTTTATTTTTCTTCATTACTAAAAGCATAAATTTTAAGCATTCATATAATAAAATTTTAAATAATACGTTGAAGAAGCATTCTGCTATTAAAAAAATGTTTTTCCAATCTATTGTAGGGTGTTTTCTTGATTGATGCCTTTGCAGTTTGATGGTCGGCTTTCGAGCAATCTCATAATTGAGTTTTTCATAACTCATAAAAATTTCATATAGCATCGTTTATAATTAGAAAGAACCAATTTAACGAACCAGAACTTTAATGAATTTAAACCTTTTAAATCAGCTTTTGTTTTAAAAGTTAACAATTATCTCTTGGGGGTAATGATTGGGCTAAATGACTTTAATAGGTGATATGATGAAAATTAATTAACCTCTTATTACTTAGTGATTTAGAATGGAAAGGGTACTGCGGTGGCCATGCAGTTAGGTCGTCTGACTAATATTTTCCACAATATCAGTTCTTGGTTCAAATCCTGGCACATTGAGAATAACATTAAAAAAAAATAGTATTGTAAAATAATATAACACCCAACAGTGATGCTAAGTGCTTAGAGGGAAAAGTTGGACATCACTTTTTATCAAATTTAATAAATTTTTACTGTTGATTGTCATTTTGGTTTTCAATTTTGGAATTTATTTTCTCATTCTGTTCATGTTGTTGATTATACCAATTAGGTTCAACATTCTGCATCATGTGTGCTATTTTAAATGACTTAGTCAGAGACCTTTCTGACTGATTCACTAATTGCATGATCGACTGTGTAATCTTTGTCATGCTTTTTCTACATGTGAATTTTACTTTTTTGTATTAATTTTAATGAATAACATTTTTGAGGTTAGATTATTTTGATTTAAACTTATTTCGCTATGACAGACTTCCTTCTTTTAAAAACATTAATTTGAAATGAAATTATCTCCTTAGGCTCAAGAGACTCGCTTCACACTCTTCACATACACTCACTCAATAACTAATGAATTGCACACTCACGAGCTCTTTCACATACACTCACTTAATAACTAATGAATTGCACACTCACGAGCTCTTTCACATACACTCACTTAATAACTAATGAATTGCACACTCACGAGCTCTTTCACATACACTCACTAATAACTAATGAATTCCACACTCACGAGCTCTTTCACATACACTCACTAATAACTAATGAATTGCACACTCATGTGCTCTTTCACATACTCATTCACACGCTCACTGTCACTTTCCCTATTGATCTTCTAAACGTCACACACACTCGATAAATAATACATTTCCCAGATGTTTGCTCCTTCAAATCCTCATACACAAACATATGTCCCAATCCTATATCCGTAGGGCCAAAGCCCTTTATTACCAAGAGGTACTGTCCACCACTCCCGATCCTAGAGCAAAATGGAAGCTCCTTCGTAACATTGGCATATGTCGCCCACCCAACTCACCATCTTCCTTTCCTGTCTCCCCTGAAGAATTAAACTCCCACTTTGTCTCCCCTAACTCTTCTTCATCAATGCCTGTCCCCATACCCACTCCCTCTGGACCCTCATTCAGTTCGTCTAACTTCTATTTTTCCTATCTAACCCCAGCCGAAGTCCTCGAGGCCATAACCAAATCCCACTCCAATGCCATTGGAGTTGATGGCATCCCTATCCATTTCCTAAACTCTGCCTCCCAATATTACTACCTGTTCTACTTCACATCTATAACTACTCACTCCAAAACTCTGTTTTTCCGACATCCTGGCAAAAAGCTCTTGTCCACCCTGCCAATAAAACCCCCAACCCATCCTCCCCTACAGACTACCGTCCCATCTCCATCCTCTCAAACCTGTCCAAGCCCCTAGAAAGATTAGTCCAAGTCTCCAGGCACCTTGAACAGTCCCATCTTCTCAACCCCCTCCAATCTGGCTTCCGCCAAGGTTATTCCACCCAATCAGCACTAATTAAAAATTACCAGTTAGCAATGGACCAACGGAAAGTTACTATACTTGTCCTTCTTGATTTTTCTAAAGCCTTCGATTCTGTCCCTCACTCTTCTCTCCTCTCTAAACTCGAATCTTTTTCCTTCTCCGCCTGCACCATCCGTTGGTTCCACTCCTACCTTACCAATCGCCATGAAGCTGTCTCCCTTCCCAATGGCCTTACCTCCTCCTTCCTCCCTCTAAAATCTGGGATGCCCCAAGGCTCTAGCATCTCTCCTATCCTTTTTTTCCATTTATATCAATGATCTGCCCGACTCCATCCAGTCCTGCAACTATCACCTATATGCCGATGACTCCCAAATATACATATCCTTCCACCCTTCCGATCTTCACTCGGCCACTCTCAAGATCCAAAAAGACCTAAACTCCATCAACGAATGGGCCCATAAAAATTCCCTAGTCCTCAATCTGTCCAAATCCACCGCCATAATTATTGGGTCCAGGCAACTCCTCAATTCCCTCCCCAGCATCCCACCTCTCATGCTAAATAACCATCCCCCTTCTGCTCTTTGGTTAAAAACCTAGGAGTAGTCTTTGACCAAAACCTTTCCTGGCATTCTCACATTTCCCAAATTTCCCGCCATTCCATTGCCTCCCTCAGCCTGTTTCGTCGGTCCTGGCTTCTGTTACCTTTCTCCACCCGCAAACTCCTTGTGTCTTCCCTTATACTTCCCTTCTTCGATTATAGCTGTGTGGCATACCGTGGTCTCGGAGGGGGAGAACGCGCGATTGAGCGTATTATGAATTGTTGCGTAAGATTTGTGTACGCACCCCACGGGGATCCCGGGTGGCGGGGTTGTATTCCCAACTTTCCTGGCTATTCCCCTCCTTCCGTGCATAGTATTTCCTAGGTTGCTTTCTTTTCCAGTCCATCCACACTCGTCGTCCTCCTTACATCATCCAATCCCTCCAATTCAACTCCTCACATCTCACTCGTAAGACCCGCCATCCCCATTCGACCTTATCCTTCTGCAACATACAACCCATACCTTCGAAAGATCCTTTCTGATCGGAGCCCCTAAACTCTGGAACTCCCTTCCCCTTTGTATTCGCTGCCTCCTTTTCCTCCTTTAAATCCCACTTGTATAATCACCTCATCTCCCTCCAAGCAGAGACCTCACGTTAACATTTGTTATTTTTATTTAATATTTTCGTAATTTTTTCTTCTGTCCTTCCTTATTGGTATACATTGTGCCAAGATCTTTTTTTTGTTTACTTTTAACTTTATAGAAGGAACTTCCTTTATTTAGTTCATGTAAATTATTCTTAGGGGACACCAGTACCAGAATAAAGTTATTTTTCTTCTTCTTCTTCTTCTTCTATGTCCAAACACCCTCATTATCACATTCCACATTACACTAATAATTATGCAGTTCTCATTCAATTATGAGCATGCAGCATGCACAATTGCGCATTCACACTCATTAACATCATATTCCCCATTCACATTTAACATTCACATTCTCTCACCAACTAATGAATTTCCCTTTCATGTATTGATACATAAACAATCATACACACACACACACACACACACACACACACTCACAATCACATTGCTCATTCACACTCACTCAATAAATATCCATTGCATTTTGCCATTCACTTGGTTTTTCACATTTTCATTCACAAACACTCATTGACACATCCTTCCTATCACATTCTATTCATCTTCAAATATTCACTCTCATTCAGTAACTGTTTTATTGCCCTTTCAATTGCTCTTTGACATACCCGTACATCATTCACTTTCAGATTTCTCATCCACATTTAAACAATCACACTCAATCAATAATTAATGTATTTCACATTCATTTGCCCTTTCACTTACTGCTACACAAACACTCATTACTTTACATTCACTACCACATTCACATTCAAATATGCTCATTCACAAATTCATCAATCCCCTGCCATCATACACTCACACTAATTCACATACTGATTAAAATTAGGAAAACTTGATTTTTAAAGGTGTTGTTAAGTTTGATGTCGACTTATATTGTTTGTCATATTACTATAAAAATAAATTCATTGTATCATCATAAATTAAAATTAAATTTTTTTGTTTGGTTTCTTTTATAGTTTTCTAGAAACTATGGCTTGGAGATTCAAGGCATCCAAATTTAAAAATGCAGCACCAATTGTGCCGAAGCCGGAAGCATGTGTCCGCGACATATGCGTCGGTTCGTACCAGACTTACGGGAACAATATCGCAGCATCTGCTGCTTTCATGGCTTTCAATGTCGACCACATCGGTATATTTGATACATTTTTTTAAAAAGTTATTTCAGTTTGATCTTTAAATCAAAATTACTCCTTTAGGTTCTAGCCTTGCTGTTTTGCCTATCGATGACTGTGGAAGAAAGAGCAAAATCATGCCACTGCTCCATGCTCACAGCGACACCGTCACGGACATGGATTTTTCAAATTTTCACGACGGCTTATTGGCAACAGGCTCTCAAGACTGCCTAGTAAGTGAATAGGTCATGTGTGTCCAGTCGTAATATTGATTTTTCACCTAAAGGTCAATGCACTCAGGAGATGCGTTCATTTCTCCGTAAAATTATTATAAATTAACTATATTGTTTTATTTCAAATCTGTTAGATTTTTTAAATATAATTAAATTTGACCAAGGATAACATTTAAGGTGAAAGTCTGGCATATTCCTGAGAAAGGACTCGAGGAAAATCTTTCCAATGCAGAAATGACCTTTTCGCACAGACAGCGTAGAGTCGAGTGTGTTAAATGGCATCCGACCGTCGATTGCCTCCTCACAACTGCATCGTATTCAACTCTTACTCTTTGGGACATCACTTCTGAGAAGGAGCTATATAGTAAGTAAAATATTGTGTCGGGACAAAAATAAGTCAATACGTGATATCAGCATGGTTAGTCATGAAGTTCTTATCCTTTTGTGATTGCAGCGCTGAGTAATAATTGGTCAACAATTTATGTGAAAAAATAAATCATTTGATTTATCACTCTTTGTCTGATGACTTTCGTTTATAATTGTTTATTTTAAAGAAAATAATTGAATTGGCATTTTAAGACTTTAATAGAATCCTGTTGATTTTTAGGCTTGACAGGTGATCATGGATTGATTCAGAGTATTTCGTGGAAGGGCGATGGGACCAATATTACATTCCATACAAAGGAAAAGACCGTATGTGTAGTCGATCCCAGAGCGGACAAAATCACCCATTCGACAGACAGCCACCAGAGTATTAAAGATTCCCGAGTCGTATGGCTTGGTGATACGAACCGAATACTAACGACTGGGTTCAATTCGGTAAAATAATTTTTTCTTTTCATCATCGTTATCAGTTATCTCATCTTGAATTAATTAACAGGCGAGACAGCGAGAGGTTTATATCCGCGACTTGAGAAATTTCAAGACTACTGAGAAAACTTTGGTCCTCGATAGTTCAACTGGGTAATTTTTTTTTTAAGTTTTGACATATTAATATTAATTGTAATTTAAAATTTTCATAAATTATTTACAGAATTTTAATTCCGTTGTTTGATCCGGATACTTCGATGCTATTCCTCGCTGGTAAAGGAGATACTACCATATCTTATCTTGAAGTTACCGATAGGTGAGTTCCTTCGTTTTTCCATTTCTAATTCAGCATATTAATTTTCTTTCATATATATTTTTTTAGAGAACCGTTCTTGGTAGAGGGCATAAGACATACCGGGGAGCAGACTAAAGGTGCTTGTTTAGTGCCAAAACGTGCTTTAAGCGTAATGCAAGCCGAAGTGAACAGAGTACTTCAGCTTACTTCCAGCTCAGTCATCCCAATAATGTATCAAGTACCAAGAAAAGTATGCATTAAAGTTTTTTCTCTTCAAATTATTGTAAAAAAACTCATCAATAAGTTCTAATTTGTATTTTTTTTTTATGTTACAGTCTTATAGAGATTTCCATTCTGAACTTTTCCCGAATACTGCTGGGTGTGAGAGTAAAGTTTATCCAACTCAGTGGTTCCAAGGGATGGATGTGCCTGTTCCGAAGATCAGTTTAAATCCAGCGGACAAACAAGTGAAGGTAAGATTCTTCAGTAAGACCCTATCAGTTTGGTTATGTTTTGTACTCAGTTTGAACCCTTTTTATGTACATAAATGTGTACAGATACATGTGTAGTTTTAGAATTTATGTAACCTATGTTTTAAAGAAAAAAAAAAAAGATTTACAAACTAGTAGTAAATCGAAAACATAAAAAATTGTGTCTTTTTCTAATTATTTTTCATAGCAAGTGCATCGGGGAAGTTTAGCTAAAATGTGTCAAGAGATAGAAGATAATGTGGCAAAATCAGCAGCCAAAATCAACGTGACAAAACCTCTTGACCCACAGCCGAAACCTTTCCGCAGCAACATCTCCAATACGAGATGTTTGTTCGAGAAGGATAACAATGAAGCAAATGAAATAAAGAACAAGAGAAATTCGGCGGAGATAAAGAAAGAAGAAGACAACGTTAAGATACAGAATGGGAACAACGAAGTGGTCATGCCTCCGAAACCGTTGCCCCGCGTGTCAAGGACTGGTTCGATATCGGAAGTCAGCGATGAAAATGTACCGAAACCGGTCGCCCGACCTCGGACCAACTCGATCCAAACTGCACAAAACCCCACTCCGCAGGCAGGCTTTATCCGTTCGATTAACATCTCTGGTGGATATAAGGTTAGAAAGTGTGTACGAGCACTGTTTGGCCTATCCGAGTTTGGTGTTGCCGCCATGCGTTTTCTTATTGTCTTGTCAAAAATCTTTTTTTCTGCACGTTTGAAATGTTTTGTCGTTTGTTTGAGAGTACTGCATGTTTTACAGTCACACCAAAGAGAAAAGTATTACATTGGATGTTTTTAAATTTTATTTTATTTTATTTATTTAATTTGAATTGAATTTCATGTTTCCCAACTTTTCAGCGCTTTCAATTATTTTTTTAGATATTTAAAAGATAGTTATTAATAATTATATTTGGTTTAAAATGATAAATAATATTGGAGGGACCGGAAAGTAATGCTGTTTTATTACATTAAATTCAAACAGATAAATTTTTCAGTTTTTATTTTTAATCAAAGATATAATTACCCTCGTTATCAACAACCTTTTGCCATCCTCTGTATCAATTTTCAATATTAGATCGATAAAAATCAATTGGTTTCTGAGCAAAATATCTAGAGATGGTATTTTGGATATCATCCAAATTTTCAAATTTTTTCAAGAAAATGTAGCGATTGGATTAAATTCAGATTGCACAATATCAGGCGAGTATGGAGGGTGAGGCACCTCCTACCCCAATTCATTAATTTTTTCTAGGGTTCGTCTTGTGCAGTGTGATCTTGCATTATCTTGTTGTAAAATAACACCTTTTCTGTTGACAAACGCTGCACTTTTCAATTAACGATTGATTTACTCGATCTAATTATTCACTGTACAGGTCTGCATTCACAGTTTGTCCAGGTTTCAGCGCTTCAAAATTAATCGCCCTGTGAATATGCCACCGAACACTAAAAATTGCGTGTTTTTGGGTGTAATCCTAGCTTAGCTGTACTTTTCCTGATTCATTTGCAGCCTGCCTAGCCTTCGGCATTTTGGCATTATCTTAGAGGACCCATTGTTCACCTCCAGTGATCAAGCGATCAAAAAACATTTCTATAATTTGCCGCTGTAGCAAATGCCTGGTCAATTTCCTTTACCAATTTGCTGCAAATGTTCTTGGATGGTCAACCAAAGTTGGTTAAGAGTGTTTGACAGTTCCTCAATTGTCTGACATGGATTTGCTTCCATTTTCTGCCCTTAACATGTCATTGTCTAAAGTTGTTGGTCTTCTGGATCGATATGAGTTGAAAAGATCAAAATTACCGGATTTGAACAAAGAAAACAACCATTGGCATTTACAAATGTTAAATGCACATGGATAAACATCGCAAACCCTTTTTAAAAAAGATCGTTCCTACTCACGTTAAGTTTGTTGTTACCCAAGGGTTATAAACTTAACAAACATGGTACTAAATAAAGAAGAAAACAATTTATTAAAAAAAAAAAAAAAAAAAAAAAAAAAAAAAGAGAACGGAGCATAATTTGCTGGAGCAGAAAAAAACATTGCAAGGAGTTAGGGAATGATTCAACTCCTTGTACAGTTTGAATATATTTGAATCCACGGCACGAGAATTACAACTCTCCCGATGACGAGCCATCGTAATATGAAGAAGATTGTAAAACATTTCAGACCACGCTGCAGAATTATCCAAAGAGAACCGAGCCACATTATACCTCTCCGCAAGAGAATTCCAGGATTTGAACCGGGATATGCTACCCTTAATAACTTCAAGTGATGTGATTTTCGCCAGGCAAAAATGAGTCTATATAGTGAATGGTAATTGTCTAACAATGAGTCCGAAATTAAAAGTATTTGCTTCAGCCAGGAATTTTTAATTTAATTGTTTTATAGGCGATCGTAAGCAAGTTTGCGCCAATTGCTTTAACATCGAGCAATAAGTCATATAAAATAACGACTAATTATCGACTAAAGATTAAAATAGCATGCCCTTATTAACAAGGACTAGAAAAATATACAGATTGGGCTGAGGCAAATTNTTTTACCCAAGGGTTATAAACTTAACAAACATGGTACTAAATAAAGAAGAAAACAATTTATTAAAAAAAAAAAAAAAAAACAATGTGAGTGGGAACCATCTTTTTAAAAAAGGATAGAACTCCACACTCACCCCATCATTTATAATTTCTAAACATCACAAATGTTTTTGGTAGCAACCAACTACTCTTGTGAAACTCAAAAAGCATATGATTCCGGGTATGTACCTCTTCTGGTATTTGGCTAGCCATTTTACCATAAATTGCAAAAAAAAATTAGGATTAATTATTTACGAGTAAACAAGTCATTCTAACCTTAAAATGTCTCTGGCACGATTTTGAAGTGAACGAGCTGATATATGTACAAACGAATATGACAGCTGAAATGGCATTGCTTTCCAGCAAGTGTTGAACAAAACCTGCTCTTCTTACCAAACAATCGTCGAACAGGCAGAAATACTTGGGAATTTAAACTAATTAAAAGAAATGAAATGCATAACAAAAGCACAAGCTTATGACAATTCTTTTCTGATTTCTGCTTTTTGCACACTTGACAATTTATGGACTGTTAGTTTTTATATAATATATATTTTTTACTATAAAAACCTTAAATTATATCGGGTCATAAAATAAGTCCATAGCATTGTTGAATGGTAAATTCAATTATAATTTCACGTATTCGTACATTTAATCAAAAACATATCTGTTTTATTCTACTACTTGTTGCCATCCTCCCTGTTATTTAGAAATTTTGCCGTTCCAGAACTCATTGGTTTTTGAGCGATTAACTCCTCGGTGTGTTTGCAGTACGCAAATGGAGAACAGTTTTTTGTCACAAGAATTATTTTGCAGAACCAGGAATAACTGAAAATCTGAATAGTAAATTCAGAGGCTCCAATTATTTCTGGTGTGTCTGCAAGGACACATGAGGGCGAGAGTTATCCTGGTGAAAAATCTTCTTGCATTTGGTCAATGCTTGTAATTTTTGGTCAATTGTTGACTTTAATTCGCTCCAATAATGTGCTGTATACACTAGAATTAACAGTTTGATTGGCTGGAAGAAGCTCGAAATAAACACCCCCTTCCAATTTCACCAAATAAATATTGCCTTGTTGGGGTGTAATCCAGCTTTTGGAAATATTAACACAGGATTTTCCTCAAAATTTTCCTTTCCCATTGTTCTAACCGTTCTAACCTCCAAAGAATCAGTCACTCCAGTCTAAAATCTTTTTAACCATTGGCCAGCTTTCTAGACTTTCAGAATTGAACTGTGGGTTTCAACTAAACTTTCTAACCTCCAAAGAATTAGTCACTACAGTCTAAAATCTTTTTAACCATTGGCCAAGCTCTCTAGACTTTCAGAGTTGAACTGTGGGGTCCAACTAAGCATTCTAACCTCCAAAGAATCAACACAGTAATCTTTCTAACTATTGCCCAAGCCTCCTATTTGTGCGGAATCGAATTATAGGATCATCTAAGTGCTCAGACTTCCGAAGAATCCATCACTCTAGTCCAAATAACTTCAAACCATTGCCAAAGCTTCCTAATTCATATCCATCATTACTACCCGACCTCCAACCTACAATTGCCATTGTCCTCAAAACCTAAACAATTTTATACAGACATCTCAATAAAACCCTGGATCTCCTTGTCCAATATTCCTCCAAGACCTCTAAGCACCAAATGGCCTCACTATTTCTTCCCCAAGGGGAAAGGGGGAATAAAAGATTATAGGAGTGTCATTTTTCTTATTTTATTACGACTATCAAACAGGAATACAAACACACCTGAAAGTTTTTTTTACATTCGTATTTAATCAAATATAATTCACATAGATAAACAGTGTTCATTGATGCTATTTATTCTAAATAGTAGTTTTCATGTTGTTTGTTTGACACTTGAAAAACATGCATAAAGAAATTTAATAATTATTATTTATTACAAATATTATCTCAGCTTCAAGTTTTTATTGTAGAATATTATGTAAATTTAATTAATTAAGTTTGTCTAGTAGTTGATATATATATTTTATTATAGCATTGTTTTTAAATTTAAATATTTATTTATTATTTAGGTAGTAACTTAGCATGTTTTGATGTGCTTATATTTTATGTAAATTTTTAATATTATTACAAAGAAATTGTTGCTCTCTTCAACTAAGCTTCAAAAGCTTTGTGTTACAAGTTTTAAATATTGGTTGTAGCCAAGACTTGGACCAAAACCCTTTACGCCCCCGAAATTCAACGAAAGCGACGATGTCACCGAAAAGGTTGGACAAATGGCCCTCGACAACGATACAAACGTTTCCACCCTTCCTGATGTAGTTAACACAAACGCCAACGGCGTTAACGGGAATGGCGAAAAATGCCTTGAAACACAGCCAGACCCAAATGAAAACAACGATGAGGTTTGTCACACCGAGAGCAATTTCGTTTTACTCTCGCATGATTTTTTATTTGTATTTTTCAACATATTAGGAAGATGGGATCGTTAGCAGTACACCATCTCCAGATGATCCGGAAGAAGGCGGGGGCGATTTGGGCAGAGGCGGCGTCAGAGCTAGCATCGCAGAACGTAGGAAAATGTACGAAGCGAGATCTTTGTCTATGCAAGAGCCAGCTAATGTCTCTCCTGCTCCGTTAAGAAGAAGGGATTCTTTAAAGGTGATCCTTTTATTAACCTGAAAAAATATTCTCATTTTTAATCAATTGTCTATAAATTTAGCATTCTAAGACTTCTGGATCGATTAAGGAGATAAAAGAAGACGAGTCTAGTCAGAAACCTGTGCAGAAGTCCAATGCCGCAGCAAATGCACCAAAACGGACCTCTACTGTTTTTGGTAATATTAATTTTTTTTTTTTTTTTTTTGGTAGTATCCATTAACTTGTGTTTTTCAGGTCGGGTTTCAAAATATAGACATCTCAAGGGTACACCTGCCCATAAGTCACTTCATATTGACAATGTACGGAATGTCAGCAGACAGATATCAGGAGAATGCGATGGTTTTCATTGTAAGTCTCAAGTTTTTTTTTCTCTCTATCCGAATCTATTTGAAATTTTTAATTCGTTTTATTTTTTTTTCCAGGCAATAAGGATCGTGTGGCAGTACCTCTTGGCGGACCGGGTGGTAAATTGGCCGTTTTTGAACTCAACCGCCCCGGCAAGTTGCCAGACGGTGTCACCCCGACACTCGTCAATGCCAACACGATTATGGATTTCGCCTGGGATCCTTTCAACACACACAGGGTCGCTGTTGGATGTGACGACGGCACTGTTAAAATCTGGGTCATTCCAGAAGGAGGTCTGACCGAAGTGACAAACACACCTGAATCAGTATTACAGGCACATACTGAGAAAATCTACTGCCTCAAATACCACCCTTTGGCTACCGACATACTCGTAACAACTTCGTACGACATGACCATCAAAATCTGGAATCTTTCAACTTTAGAATTGGCCGTGACCCTTAATGCTGACGATCAAGTATGCTTTTCATATTTTTAAAATATCACCGTATAATTATTTTCAATTTTTTGTTTTGTTTTTAGATTGTTGCCGTGGCATGGTCAGGATGTGGAAAATACATTGCTGCGGCGTCAAGAGGGTCTGTACTTTCTGTATATGAGCCGAGGGTTAGCCCTGATCCGATCAGACAAGGAAAAGGACCAGGGGGCACTCGAGGCGCAAGACTTGTTTGGGCTGTGGAAGGTCAATTTATAGCTGTCATGGGATTTGACAAGTAAATTTATATTTTAATTATATTTAATGTTTTAGTATATAGTATACAATATTTCATTTCCCTTTATCTGTCTCTTATTATATTCTATTTTTGTCAGAGATCAGATTTTTTCGTTAAGAACTATAAAGTCTGGCAAACTGAAATTATTGCCTCTAGAATTATTAAATAAATGAATCTTAGCTAAATAAAAATACACTACCTTCCAAAAAAAAAAATAAAATAAATAAATAAAATAATTATTTGGAGATCGTGAGATGCAGTCTGGCGTGACGTAGGTTTTAGAAAAACATTTTCTTTATCGTGCCAACATTTCGATCTTTATTGAGATCATCTTCAGGGCTCAAAGTGTTTGTTTTCCGTGTAGATGTGCCATTCTTGTCTGTTGTGTTGAGAGCGCCCAACACGACAGACAAGAATGACACATTGGCATGATTGCATTGTAACGTTGGGACGATAAAGAAAATGTTTTTCTAAAACCTACGTCACCCCAGACCGCACCTCATGATCTCCAAATAATCATTGGCTTATGGTCACTAAACACCACGCATTAAAAAATAAATAAAATAATTAAAAAACCCCACCTGGTTGTTGCATGAAAAATAGATAACTTTGAAAATGCACATTTGCCAGTCACAGACCTGCAATATGTCCCATTTTTTTTTTTTTTTTTGAAATTTTACATTGAACAAAATGGCCTATGAGAAGGTCTGCTTCCAATCGTCTCCAACCCAATTCAATCAAAGAAAATGTGCATAATGATGCAATAGTTCAGGTAAATCAAATAACCAATGAAAAAACCAAAGGAAGAGTATACCCAAAAAATGAATTTCACATGCTTCAACACGAAAAAAAAAACACTTGAAAAATAGTAACATAAACCAAATAAGTAAAAAGCTCACCCCTGTAATGGTATTAAAAAAAAAAAAAAAAAAAAAAAAAAATCAATGAAAGAACCAAAGGAAGAGTAGAAATTATAAATGATGGGGTGAGTGTGGAGTTCAATCCTTTTTAAAAAAGATGGTTCCTACTCACATTAAGTGTATATTGTATGTATATTACTTAATGTGAGTAGGAACCATCTTTTTTAAAAAGAAAGGAAGAGTTTACCCAAAAAATGAATTTCACACGCTTCAACACGAAAACAAAAACACTTGAAAAATAGTGACATAAACCAAATGAGGAAAAAGCTCACCCCTGTAATGGCATTAAAAAAAAAATAACCAATGAAAAAAACCAAAGGAAGAGTATACCCAAAAAATGAATTTCACACGCTTCAACACGAAAAAAAACTTACTTGAAAAATAGTGACATAAACCAAATAAGGAAAAAGCTCACCCCTTTAATGGCATTAAAAAAAAAAAAAATAAAATAAAAAATAAAAAAACTGAAAAAACCAAAGGAAGAGTATACCCAAAAAATGAATTTCACACGCTTCAACACGAAAAAAAACTTACTTGAAAAATAGTGACATAAACCAAATAAGGAAAAAGCTCACCCCTTTAATGGCATTAAAAAAAAATAAAAAAAAAAACCAAAGGAAGAGTATACCCAAAAAATGAATTTCACACGCTTCAACACGAAAAAAAACTTACTTGAAAAATAGTGACATAAACCACAAGGAAAAAAAAAGGAATGATTTTCTGTTCAATCTAGATGTGCCATAAAGGTCTACCTCTTTCAGCGTCTCGAACTGAAGAGAGCTACCGAGTCCTTCCATTGTTGGGAGGGGGCCTTCAGCCGATGATGCCTGAGGGTCTGTAAAGACGCGATAGGCTTTTTAAAATGTTTTCATAGCTTCAATCATTCATAAGTAAATTAAAAATTCGGGAACATGTTAATTTTTGCACTTTTTACGAAAACTTCAAATTGAGCTGTGCTATGGATACAACCTATAGCAATGGATAGGAAAATTTGATAATCTTTCAATTGGTCACCTTCCAGATTGCCTGATTTCTTAACTGTTTTTGAATTATTTGCATTTTTTGGGCACAAAATGTCGTTTTTTCCTGCTCGTGGAAAAAAACATATCACTTTTGATTTTATCATTGATAAACCTATTGTTTCAATGCGTTATTTGAAGCCAAACTGCCACAACTGTGAAATGGGAAGGAAAAGTTGAATTTCCGTGATGAGGTAAACAAGTGGCTATTGACAGTAGAAGCATTTCGCATCCCAAAAGGTCAAAGTAAATGTGTAATCTGTCAAGACCTATTTTCTTTAAGTCTATTTTGACGAAGCAATAATGAAACGACAACCACAGTAATCTTTCATAAGTAGAACAATCAATAGGAACGACATATCATCAGTTCACTTTTCATGTTGTTTGTTAACTTTTTTGAAAAAGTCCTTGGAACAAAAGTTTTGGAGCATAAAGTTTGCGAAAATATGACAGTTCAAAATTTATGCATTCTGAAAATCAGGAGAGTTTTGAGCATTAGAAAACCACATTTTGTGCCCAAAAATTGTGAATAACTCGAAAACGGTTGAGAAATCAGGCAAAGTGGAAGGTGACCAATTGAAAGCTTATTAAATTTTCCTATCAATTAATAGGGCGCTGCTCCAGGATGATTTTCTGGCTTCACAGCTCAATTTGAAGTTTTCGTAAAAAGTGAAAAAATTAACATGTTCTCAAAATTTTGGATTTACTGATGAATGGCTGAAGTTAGGCAAACATTTAAGAAGCCATCTTGTTCAGCGTAAAATTTTCTATAAAATGAGGCTTAGTCTGTGACTTAAAAGCTGAAGAAATATGCATTTCCAATGTTGGCCTTTTTTTTGTGCAAAAACCAGTTGGTCGGTTTTATTTTTTATGAGCAGTGTAGTATTTTCATGATAAATATCTTATGTTTATTAAGGGTATCAGAGAGGCAAATTATGGTCTTTAAAAGTGATAACTTGGATAACCCTTTGACTACAGTCGGACTTGATGTTTCTCCGGCTATTCTCATACCTTTTTATGATGAAGACAGCTCCACCCTTTTCCTTACAGGGAGGGTAAGTCTTGACATGCTTTATCTCCTCTGTCCTTTGTTAATCTGAAACTTTATCTCAGGGTGATTCGACGATCTACGCTTTTCAAGTTTGTGCCGAGGCGCCTTATTTGAACGCGTTGAGCCATCATAGATGCAGCTCGCTTCATCAGGGGCTTTCATTTTTGCCAAAGAACTGTTGTGATGTAACATCTGTAGAATTCGCCAAAGCTTTAAGATTGACAAATACAACTATCGAACCTCTTTCTTTCACTGTACCTAGGATTAAGGTAAGAGAATAATAATTAACCCCTTGCCTTACAAGTTTGTTTCTAATGTTCCAAAAATCATCCATTTTTTTATGTCTGATTTATATACTTTAAGACATAAATTTAGTTCTTTCACATTTTTTAAAATTAGCTTTTATTTATGTGCCAAATTGGCATCTCAAAAACGTTAAATTATTAGCATGAGTTAACTCAGGCAAGTCAAAAAATACAGAATTTGCAATAAACCAAATAAAATGTATATTGATTGTTCAGAAATCTTGAGATGCGGTGGTGTGATGTAGGTTTCAGAAAAAATTGCCTTTATTGTGCCAAAGTTTCGATCTTTATTGAGATCATCTTCAGGGCCTGGGATTTACAAACATTGTTTAAATTTAACAAATACATGTAGGATGTGGATAAAAGTGATTTTATACAATGCAAAATATATTTTTTATATTCAATCAAAGTATTTCTGCTCACTCAAAGTGTTTGTTTTCTGTGTAATTGTGCCATTCTTGCGTGTCGTGTTGAGAGTGCCAGTAAGATGTTGCTGTTTTATGTTTATTGGATTTTGTAGGGGTGGGGAAGGAAGTTGAAAACAACAAAGCAATACACTTTGTAGATACACTCGTATAAAACAACCAGATGGCACATTAATCACAGATTGGTACCAAAAACCAAGAAACACAGATCGCTACCTCAACTTTAAATCTCACCATCCTCTTCATACATAAACACAGCCAAATGGTTACTTCACAGAATGATTGCCCTAAGCCATGAATCATTTCACCACAAGAACATAAAGATATATAAACAGATCCTCCATAACAATCTCTACCCTAAACACACAATTAACAGAATAATCAACAACTACAACTCAACACTAACATCATCCACTATTACTAATAATACTACATCAAATCTATCAAATACAAACAAACCAACATACATTTTCATGCTATTCATTCACGGCCTGTCACATAAATTAAACACATTTCTCTCGTCCGATAACTTTAAAATAGCTTTTAAAAATTATAAAAAATTCAAACACTTTTTTCCAAAATTTAAGATCCCACACCAATAACAAATAAATCTGACGTAATCTACAAGATCAACTGTTTAAACTGTCCAGCAACTTACATCGGTCTTACATCCCAATATATGGAGTAAGTATACAAGAGAGTAAAGCAACATATCTATGATTGCAAAAAAACCCAAGCAAAATCCTACTGTACTAGCTACCCACCATTTTGAACACCAACACAATTTCGACTTCAACAATCCAAAAATATTACACACAGAACAAAACAAATATAAACGTGACTTTTTAGAAATGGTTTACATCACCCGAGATAAACGCAGCATCAATTGCAGAACAGACACATGTAAACTCAGTCAACCAATCCAAAACCTTTCAACCCAAACACTCAGACAATCCTTTTAAGATGCCAAAATGGCCTAGTGATTTCCTCCCTAGTGAGGAAAATGAATAGTGTTGTGATAAAAGAGTAATCAATGGATTACTTCTCCACTCTATGCAAAATTTACAAAGACAACTAAATTGTTCTGGCACTGTTTAACATAATAAAAAAATCCATAATTGACTGTATTAATTATTAAATTCACAATTTTTCATGGTCCGCTTGACCAATTAATATCTATATTTATATTTATTAATTGGTCTAATTTATATTAATATATATTTAATTAATTAAGGTTTTTAAGTGGAGATAAAAAAGTCAGTGTCACGAGCGGGATTCGAATCCACGACCTTCGGCTTAATACGCCGCTGCTCTACCACTTGAGCTATCGTGACTTCGATCTACTCGGGCAAAAAGGAGGGAAAATTCAAAAGGTGGGGTTGAGATGGGGAGTTGGTGTCCCTGTGGATCGAAGTCACGATAGCTCAAGTGGTAGAGTAGCGCCGTATCAGCTGAACGTCGTGGGTTCGAATCCCGCTCGTGACACTGACTTTTTTATCTCAACTTAAAAACCTTATTAATATTGACTGTATTAATTTTTTTAATTAATTATACTTTTTATCAAATGTCTTGGTTGTGATGAAAAAGCTTGTGTCACAAGTGGGATTTGAACCCACAACCTTCAACTTAATACACCGCTGCTCTAACCACTTGTCACGATTGTAGCTGAAGGTCGTGGGTTTGAATACTGCTTATGACACTAGCTTTTTATCTCAACCAAAACCTTAAATAAAATGTATAATTAATCGTAATAAAAAATATATATTAATTTTTTTTTTTAAAGAGTGATCTTTTCCAAGACGACTTATTCCCTGATTCAAAAGTTACTTGGGAGCCGACCATGACGAGTGAAGAGTGGATCAATGGCGGCAACATACAGCAGCTGAGGATCAGTTTGAAGCCTCCTAACATGGACAGCTGTAAGTCATGATGAACTCCACAGCAGAACAAAACGTTGTATTATGTTTATTTTAGTGTCAGAAGCACAAGGGACTCCAGCAAATGTTCACAGTTTGCCAAATAACAAAGAGTCAAAAGCGAGCAATGTCATGACAGGGCGTATGCCGTGGGCCGATCCTTCAGTCAAACACAAACAAGAACAGGTTTTTTTTTTTAATTTTTCAGTTTAAAATTTTAAAACTGTTCACTTTTGTTTTGTTCTAGATTCAAAAATCTGTCAGTAGCCGTGTAGAGATAAATATGAAGTTAGAGCAGGATAAAATGGAAGGTGTTGACGAAGTAGAATGGGTAACTATTATTTTTATATTAACAACATAAATGAAAATTTCGATGTTTTATAATAATATTGTTTTTCCTTTTTTTCTTCTCCCCAGAATGAATGAAACATTTTTAAAGAAGGAATATGTAGGTTGTTAGAGCATAGAAATGCATTTTTTAAGGAGAAGAATACAGAAAAAAATTTACCCCCTTGGAATGTACTTTGCAACATAATTATATTTATACTAAAACGCTGAGACGTAAGCAAAAAGAACTTGTTATTTATATCGCACGGCAATTCATTCACTAGATAAAAATACAACGTAAAATAAGCTCTCTTTCTCTTTCTCTCTCAGGATTTTTTAATAGGATTTTTGTCAACCAAAAATTATAAGACTGAGAGTATTTTTTTGATTTGTTTTTCTGCTTTATAATAAAACTTAGTCTGATCGGCATGTTTACACTTTAAAGGGAAAAGGTGAATCTCAAGAAAAAAAAGACAAATTAGCGACTAAGAGAGAATATACAAAAAGAACTGTGTGACTTCGGAATTTGAACGAGCAGAATTTTTACAGTTTAGAAATTTTCATTAAAAAAAGCTAAATAATTAAAAAATATAAAGTCTAGAAAAATACTTTTTAAAGTTAAAACTTAAAAAAAAAATCGGTAAAAATGTAGTTAAGATAGTCAAGGCTCAATATTTGTGTGTAATATTAAATTGTATTCACTAATGAAATGATTTATAATAGATATTTTATAGTAGATGCACTTTTACAACTTCGGTAAACATGAAATTTTCATGCTGATCGTAAAATATTAATGTAACGCAATAATTCATATCTGAGGGGAAAGGTAAATATTTACTCCCGACCTCGACTTTGTTTTATAATTTGTTCAATTTTTTATTGTAATTTGTAAAATACGCTGCAAACCTGACATTGCCATAAGTTCATCATCCACATGTACAGTTGATGACAGAATACAAAATGAAAAGGTGGATTTGTGTTATACAAATTATAAAATTCTCTATTTTAAACCATTTATTTTTTCAAAAACACCAGCACTCCTTGGATTGATCCTCTGATGTTGTGAACCCCATTAAAAATAAAATCAATCAATAAATAAAAACAACAATCTTTTGTTAAAGGAAATATTTATTTTTTTATTTATCTGCATTTAAGAAAACCTTACCCGTTATGAAGATCAATATTTTGAGAATTTTTTATTTCTTGTTGTACATTGAGTTAACCGTAAAGCACTGCATACATTGGATGGCAGGCAGTTTTTATTTTCTCTCAAATTGCCAATTAATAAAATTTAAAAGATGTCACACAGTTCTTTATATGAAAAGTGAAACAAATTTATAAAAAAGCACATTCCTTTTGTTTTATGTTTTTTGTATTAAAATTTAACACCTCTGCCAAAATGACAAAAGAAAAAAATAAAAGTTTACATGCAGTTATTAGCATGGTGTTGATTGTTGATTATTATCAAGTAATATTATTTTTAATTGTGAAATATGACAATATTTTAATTGAATTATCTGTAATCTTTATCTAGTCATGGATTGAAATGGTAAATTGGATCATTTTTTTAAATAAATATTTTTATTGTCTAGTGTGTTCACCCGGTGATTTCTTTGTGTATATATTTTGAATGTATTATTATGAATATAGTTTTTAAGTAATTAATTATTGAAGGGAAAAGAAAATTAATTTAGTTTTAGTTCTATAATCGCTCTCATATAATATTAAATAACATATTGCTTGATATTAATATATTATAAAAGGTAAAAAGTATGAAAACAGTATTCAGCTAAATATACTCAATACTTAATTTATTATAATAAATATTTTATATATCGATATTAAACTGAACCATCTTTAGTGCCATTTTCAGTTACCAATGACCTTTATTACTCAAAAGAAGGCAGAAATGCTCAGAAGTGGATTCATTCCTTTTCTTTAACTTTTATTTTGGTGTCTTTCATTTGGTGCATTGCATAATAAATTTATACTAAAAATAATACTAAACACACGCACCTTTACCCCTTCTCTCGTTAATTTTTTAAGTATAGTACAGTTTGCTTTTTAAACAAAAGACAAAGAAAAAAGAAAAGTGTGGTCTCAATTAGTTTTTGTCATGTATGTAAATTGCCCCGTATGTTGTTGAAACTATGATGATAATAGATTGAAACAAGCAAAAAAAAAACTCCAAAACCAAAAGTGCTTAAATAATGTTCCATTTCTAAACTGACTGAACACTAAACTTTTCTACTTATTTTTGTGTATGTGTGCATGTTGTCATTTTATATGTGATTTCTTTCTTAAAATTTATACAATATTTTAATATTTATACTGAATAAAAAGAGGAAAAAAATGATCAAAAGCTGGTTTTTGATATAATCATCCTTCCCAACTGATTCAAAATTGATTGGTCTCCCCGAGGTATTGACAAGGGATGAGCCAATTGCATGAATGTCTCTTCCATGTTCTTATGTAAAAAATTTGAGTGCACAGATGATCCATAAACTGTTAAGTTGAATTTACATAATAATTTTTACCAATTATATTACTGGTCTATTGACCAAATTACTTCGTTCAATTAATTAATCTTTTTATGTAAGGTTTTGGTTGAAATGAAAAAGCTAGTGCCACGAGTGGGATTTGAACCCACGACCTTCGGCTAAATATGCTGCTGCTCGACCACTTGAGCTATTGTGACTTCAATAATTAATTGAAAGAAGTAATTTGGTCAATAGACTACTAAATATAATGGATTTAATAAGCAAAATGAAGTATAACTTCACGAACAGCTCCCTGTGGCCACTTCATATGTCGCCGAGAATCCTCAACCACCAAGGATCATGATTGTCCCAATGACTAACTCATTATCTAATAGATAGAAAGAGGCATACAGATTAAAGCTACCCACGCGGACGGTTGACCTAGTATATTTATCTATCTATATTTATTTATCTTTATTCTATTTCTCTATCTATTATTATTATTATTTATTATCTTTATTATTATCATATCTAATATTTATTATCTTTATTCTATATTATTTATTAAATTCACTAATTTCGTGGTCCACTTGACCAATTAATATACTACAATTAATTAAGGTTTTTAGTTGAGATAAAAAAGTCAATGGCACGAGCGGGATTTGAACCCACGATCTTCGGCTTGATACGCCGCTGCTCTACCACCTGAGCTATCGTGACCTCGATCCACTCGATCCCGCTCGTGCCATTGACTTTTTTATCTCAACTAAAAACCTTAATTGTAGTATATTAATTGGTCAAGCGGACCACGAAATTAGTGAATTTAAAGATCAAAAATGAAGTATACTTCACTAAAGCTCTCCGAGGCCATTTCATTTGTCGCCGAGAATCAAATAGATTACACAACATTTGAAAAATGGCAAAAAGGAGGGAAAATTCAAAAAAGGTGGGGCTTGAGATAGGAAGTTGGAGCCCGAGTGGATCGAGGTCACGATAGCTCAGGTGGCAGAGCAGCGGTCTTTCAAGCCGAAGATCGTGGGTTCGAATCCCGCTCGTGCCATTAACTTTTTTATCTCAACTAAAAACCTTAATTAATTGTAGTTTTTTTTTTTTTTTGCGTTATGAACTATGCATATTAGCCATGTGACAAATTCGTATATGTGTGTTCAAATTTGGGGGGTTATTGGGAAAAAAGGGGCAACGGTGGGAATCGAACCCACGACCGCGGCGTGAGAGTCTCTCATGCTAACCACTCGGCTACCGCGGTCCCCAATTGTAGTATATTATTTATCTTTATATATCTGATCTTGTATATATAGAGAAGGACAAACAGTGTGAGCTCATATTTTGTCGAGTAGATTTGCTGATTTGAGAAAATCAAACAAATTACGTATACTATCATTGTTGTCGCCTAGCATTTCTTGGATGCTTATAAGCAAGGAGTGTAGACATCTATGGACTGTATATAATGAGCATGACGTAAGTATATGTTTGGTTGGGACGATTTGATTGCACATTCCGCAAATTGGAGGTGCCTCTTGCCCCATCAAATGACCCTTAGTGGCTCTACAGTGTCCGATCCTCAACTGTGCAAGAACCACTTCTTCCCTTCTACTAATTCTGAATGAAGTAGGCCATGCATCTACAGTTCTTTATTTCCCATAGTTTGTTTTCACATATGTTAGTCCAGACCTGTTCCCATTGACCCTTAACTTTTGACTTGTAAACTACAGTCATATCACCCTTTGGAACGTTCCTGATTTGAAGGCCTGTATTGGCTGCTTCTTTTGCAGCTTCATCTGCCAAATGGTTTCCTTTAATATTTACATGTCCAGGAACCCAGACGAAATAAACGCTCTTTCTCTGTAGTTGGAGGCTCCCCAGTGACGCCAGCACCTCCTGCACACCAGGATCATCTGAATAGGGGTGTTCCAAGGCATGATTTCTGTATTGCTAGTAGCTCAGTGCTATAGAAATGATGTAGAGAGAAAAGAAACATATAGACGCAGTTCCCACGCCCCTGAAGCTCCTTGATCCGTCCGTATAGATAAATGCCGCTTGTGGGAGTGCGTTTTTTTATTTTCAAAAACTGCTGGTATACATGAAAAGGTGTAAGGGCTTTGCGATATTTTCCAAGTGAATACAAAATTTTCGGTTTGGAAAATGCTCAAGGAGGGATGGGAGCCACTGATTCTTTTTGTACTGGAGGTATGGGCATTTGTAATTTGGTAATTATAATGGTATGGGTAATTGTAATTTTGGAATCGAATCTTGCTTACACGGCATTTGTTGAAAAATGACAAAAAGGAGGGAAAATTTGAAAGGTTGTCCTCATTAGTCCTAAATTTCTCCTAAAATAATTTTCAACTTGTTCTATTTACGTTTTTTATTATTAATTTTTTTGTACCCTGCGATTGATAGGTATTTTTTTTATACCACTAGTGCCTTACCTACACAAGGATATGTTAATGAACTTAGTGTTTTTTTCACATAATCGGCATTTTTCTGTCTACTTTGCCCTCTTTCTTTAGAGGACAGTGGCTTATAATTTCCTCAAAGGACTTCCTTTCTGAGTGATTTATGAATCTCTTATCTTGCCTTATACCTGCTGTTTTCTTGCTGTGTTTCAGTCGTTCTTTCTCAAGCCATTTTACCAGCTCGAACAAAATTTTTAATTTTTTTTTTAATTTTTGAACTTTTATCAAGAAACTATTGTATTGAAAAATAAAATCAGAAGTTGGGATTTGAAATAAAATAATGTTAATATTCTTGCATCTGAAGAGCAAAAAATAAATTTATTTACACTACTCTGCAAACAGCAGATCGACTTGTTCTATTTTTCTAAAAAAAAAACAAAAACAAGAAGTGATAAAAATTTACAAATTGTAAACCAATCTTCTTTTATCCCAATTATTTACAAAAATATTTAATCCATAAATTAAATAATTCAATAAAAAAATAATGCAGACTCAATCAAATACTACATGTTTCACTCATATTAGACTTAATATTTCTATATTTAGTTTTGTTTAAATGATATTTCTATGTTGCAATGCTCGTCCTCTTTTCTAATGCAACATTGAAGCCTTCTGATCTCTTGAGGATGATGTCACCCTGGAGTTTCCAATCCTTCATCGCAAGTTTGGATGGTTTGACTTGGAATTTCCTAAGAATATTGGTGAGGAGGATTTTCAGCTTGAGCATGGCGTATTTTCTACCTGTAATATTTTACGTTTAAAATCATCGAAGATTTAGAATTTAGTTATTTATTTACCGACACAACTCCTTGGACCTGCGCTGAACGGCACGTAGGCGTAATAATGCCTCGAGGCGGCATTTTCAGGTAGGAAATTGTCAGGGTCAAACTCTTCAGGGTTGGGGTAAATGTCACCCCTTCGATGAATCTTGAACATCGGTATGACAACAGTGCAGCCGGCAGGGACGACCAAATCGCTTGTAGCTAGTCAAAAGCACAATCAATTTCTTGAATATATACAATTAAAAATAAGTACCTAATGACAAGTCATGTTCGAGTGTTCTCGCAATGATCGGCACTGGAGGGAAGAGCCTAAGAGTTTCGAGTAAACACCTCTCCAAAAATTTAAGCTCAAGTGTGTCCTGGAAGGTCACATCGCGGTCGGAATTGCCAAAGATCGAATCTATTTCTTCAATTACTTTTTCCTGGTGTAAAACAAAATTCTTATTGAAATGAAGATGAAATATAATTGGTTATATCATACCTGGATATCTGGTTTAGCACCCATGACACAGAGGAAAAAGCTGCTTGCTGCTGCTGTAGTATCATGCCCCTGATATTGAAAAACAATGATAGGCATGATCATAGAAAACTATTTCAATCATTACCTCAAACATAATAGTATTGACTTGATCTTTGATCTCAACATCTGACATTCCATCGCCTTTGTGTGCCCTTTCTATCATGGATTCTAAAAATGGGAGCCTTCTTTTTTCACCTTAATAGAAAAGAAGTTTAGCTTAAACTGTTTTAATTTACAAAAGTAAAGTTTTATTGTTTTAATTTACCTATGTCGCATTCATCATTATCAATGTCATCATTGAGCCCAGTTGCAATGCCAAAAGCGAACTTTTCCTTGGGCGAGGAATCTTTCTTAGTTTCAGCTGCGTCTTTTGGTACTGGAAAGGGTTTTTTTTTGTGGTCGTACAGTTCTTTCTTCTTTCGTAGGAGCTGACAATAAAGTATAAATTATTTTGTAAATTTAAAATAAACATACAATCAATTAGCATTTGGTAGATAGATAATTCATTTTAACGCTTTTCCCTCCCTAATATATTAATTTAAATTATATTTACATTGTTAGTGAGGTTGAGGATAATACTAAGATGGTGATCATTGTCCTGGCGGAGGTTTGTGAATCGGAACAAGAAATCGGGCCTGAACCAAAGCTTGGTCTGTCTCGTGTGTAAAATATCGCACATCCTGGCATCGTGTTTGGTATAATTAGTAAAATCCCAATTTTTTTTTTTCACAAATCGAAACAAGTACTCACTTCATAACTGACATAGCATATGTGAGGCAGTTCCTCCCTTTGGCTTCTTGTCTGACGCCCATGACTGTTTCGGAAAGCGTTTCAACCATGCACTCGCTCATGTATTCATGGCAGTCGAATTCCTTTCCTTCGAGATGCTCCAGACGCGCCATCAACCTCTTTGAGTTGTAGTTGAAATCGCTCATGAATTTTTTAAGCACGTTCAAGTGAAATGTGGGCGCAATCATTTTCCTGTGAGTCTTCCATACGTCACCTGTAACAAAAATGTTTAAAAAACTGTTTTTTTTTAAATTTTTTAATGATTAATAATTACCATAACTGATAAGAAGACCATTTCCAAACCACGGCTGGAAGTAGCTGTATTCAATTGATTTCCTTAGATGCACATTACTTCCCAAAACCAACTGAAATGAAAATATTAACTGTAGAAATATAATAATGAAAACATTTTGTTACAAAATGTACTTTTTAACACTTAAATTTTCTTTCATTGTATCCAAGCTTTGCTAATGTTTTTCCTGGAAAATTTTAGCTTTTTTTAAGAAAGTACAGGATCTTTTCAGGGATATTGTATATTATATAAGAATGGCTTTCCTAGTTGCCACAGCGTAGGTTACGGTCTGTTGTTTCTCTGTCTCCTCTAGACAAAATAGACTTTTTGTAAATGATGTTCTATTCACAAATTTGTTGTTTTTAACAATCCAGATTTCAAGCATTAAATGCTCATCAGGTTGAGAGTGAACCGCTAATGTTACGTTCCAATGAAAAGCTGGTTTTTAATGCTGTTCTATCTTGAACATGCAAAAACGTGAATAATATCACAACTAAATATTATCCTAATAAATACTGTATGAAAATAAATTAGTGATTCATTTTATAGGTCAAATATATTTAGCTATATGTTTAAAATTGGAGGTAAATAAAAATCTGTCTTATTATATATTCATTTATTTCCACGTTTAATTTTAAATTTTTTTATATTTCAAATTTCTCAAACCAATCTAGTTCCCCCTTTGTTAAAACTGTTGTATTTAAATTTAAATTTTGTTTTGATTCATTTTTTTTTTTTTTTTTTTTTTTTTTTTTTTTTTTTTTTTTTGGCGTTATGAACTATGCATATTAGCCATGTGACAAATTCGTATATGTGTTNAGTGGTAGAGCAGCGGCGTATCTAGCCGAAGATCGTGGGTTCGAATCCCGCTCGTGCCATTGACTTTTTTATCTCAACTAAAAACCTTAATTAATTGTAATATATATTTAATGTTGCAATCATTACAATTAGTTGGTAAACCCCACTTTTTGACAAGTTGTCTTTAGGTTTTGAGAGGATCTTTCTAAGTGAACTTGGACCTCTAAAAGCTACTCTAAAACCTGCTCTTTTAATAATTTTCAGCTACTTTTTCTGATAGTTCCCCAATATATGTCAAGCGATGAAAACCTAAAGATTCATTTTTGGTGGAGTGGATGAGTTCGTTTGTCGCTTCTTTTAAAGTTAATTTTTTGATTCATTTTACTAGCAATGTATCGATAAATATTTCTTGATATCCATTGTTTTTAGCCAAGAGTTTAATTGTTCGTAATTCTTTTTTATAATTAGCAGGTGTTAATGTGAGTTTCAACATGTGGTATATGAGCTAAACGAATCCAGCAGCTTTTTATGGGCCCATGAGTGAGAAGAAACTGCTGGTGTCATGGTGTCCGTAGTGGTGGGTTTTCTACATCCATCTATTTCAATCAGTTTTAAGTCTAAAATATTTAAGCAACCACCTTTATTTATTTCCAATTTAAAATATATACTAGGGTATAAAGAATTAATTAATTGTAATACAATTAATTATATTAACTTAATGTTTTTTTTGGTCAGCCTGGGCCATTGCCGGCACCTCACATTTCTTTTACCTCACGTTTTAAAAATTTATTTATTATTATTTTTATTTATATATTTTATTTGTTTATTTATTTATTTATTTTTGAAGTTAGTTTTTCTGTAGGAAGTCTGGCGATCTTTCTGGTTGTGTTCTGGGACGTTATTTCTACATTTTTAGCCCTCGCACACGTGGTGAAAAGGCTCTGAAACTATCTCATTCACTAACATTCAATCCTAGCCTTTATGCGGATTTCAGAGTACTCGATATTCCTCTGAAGACCCACCCTCTTTCACGCTAATAAATACATCCATACATTATATACAATTAAAATTAATCTAAAATATTAACCTAGGTTGGTGGGATATTCCACCATAGACCCAACCATGCATACACTTCTACCGCACTAATAAATACATTCACTCAAACAGTAACCAATCATTCTGTATTTACAAATAAAAAAAATGCGGAGCTACTGGCGCATTTAATATTACAACAGTGCCACCGCCCATTCACTCTAAAAGATATTATAGCCTAACACTAACCTAAATCAGTGGGTCTGTGGAGTACTCGATATTCCTGCACAACCCACCCATACACGCTCACTTTCGCGCCAATAAATACATTCATTCTACCCAAAGCACACCAAGAGATATCTATCCTAGTTTGGTGGGTCTCTAATACACTCATATTATGTTTAATTAATTAAATACAACTGTGTTACATAGTTTCAGTAAAGCGAGGGAACTAGATTGGCTAAGAATTTTGAAATAAAAAATATAAAATTAAACATGGAGATAAATGCATAAATAATATAATAGATTTTGATTTACTTCCTATTTTAAACATCTACCTAAATAATATTTGACATCCAAATGAACCACTAATTTAAAATTATTTTCTAACAGTATTTATTTGGATAATATTCAGTTGTGTTAATTCATGTTTTGCATGTTCAGAATTGAGCGACGTTAAAAACCAGCTTCTCAGTGGAACGCATGATTTCTAATAAACCCCGCTTCCTTGTATCCTTTTTCACCATACCATAACATACCAACCTCTGAAGTTGATATTGTAAATTCTCTTTTCTTATAATTACATAATTATGTATATTCTTGGAATAGTAATGCACTGCGAACTCTGGCTGACGGTCTTAATATCTATCTATCTATCTACAAATTTTTCTCAGGGGTAAGGCATCAAAGTCTACATTGCTCAAGAAAGGCTTTCTTAGGTACCAAAATCTTTTCCTAGTTGATGCTGTGTAGTTACATAGGATATGTTCAGTTGGCTCTCTCTCTCCTCTAGACATACTTGACATTGGTTATCTGTTAATAGTCCCATTTTTTTAAGTAGCATTTTACTTGAACATGAAGTAGTAACAAGTAAATATACTTGTTAGGGGTTTTAATACCTTTCTGTCCTCTTTCTCCCATTGGTTTTTTTTTTTGCAAATAATCATATTGCCTGGTGGTCGTTCACAGTATTCTTGTGTCCTTTAGTAGCCCAACACTCCAGTTCTTTTGTATTGTATCTAATTTTATGGCATAAAAGTCTTCTAAGGATTCTTTTTTGGCTAGTATGTCTGCTGCCTTGTTGCCTGAAGTTTCCTCATGTACTGGGATATGGACATAACACCAGGCCATTGGGGTACGAATGGGTACTATGCGTCTCCAATAACCTCTAATACCCAACTCCGACTTTCCACCATGACGAAGCTTATGCGGGTGTACCCTGTTAATTTAACAAATGGAAAGAGGGGTATGGAGGGGCAGGAGCTGGACCTGATATCTCCTAACCTAAACCCAACACCTTATCCCTCTTCCCACCCTACACCCTATCCTAGCCCCACATTCCAGCCTAAATCCAAGGTGTTATGTGATCCGTACCGATGGATGAATGGTACAGGGATAACTGTGCCAATAACGGAGCCTTAAGGGCACCCCCTTGAGTAAATAGCCCTACACTGGTGAGAGGGCTCCTCCGGTGCGGACCTTTAGATCCCTCTCACTCGTGGGAACTACATGGAAAAACTGACAGTAAGCAAAAAAAACACCGGGGGAACCTGCAAAGGAAGACCCCAAAAATCAACTCATGGAAATTGAGGAGGGCTCCGAACTCTCTCCAATTCCCATAACCCAAGAATTGAAAGACATTGTTGTTATTTATTTCATAGGTAAACACATGCTTCTAGGGCTTGCAGTTCAGCTTGAAAGATATTTGTAGTAGGGTTAAGGGACATGCAGTTAGAATGTATATTACATCCATATTATAAACATTTTGTCATGAGGCGCTAGAGGCCGCCATACGGATACGTTCGGATGGGACAAATGCCCCTTCCATCACAAAAGGTAGGTCAAGCAATTTACGGGCTAACCGGAGACTCGGCTCCTGATTTCTGCAGCGGACTGATCCTAGCTTCTCTAACTTGATAAACCATAAGTGCTCTTTTGTCTATACCGATTAACCTTCTTCGTTCGCTCAATTATTAATTGCCACAAGAAAGTTCAAGGCATTTTTTTTTGGGGGGGGGGAGGGTTTGGAGAGTCCCCATGACCCTAGTGGTAGGTGGAATGGTGTACCAGCAGCACAAAACCGGAACCCGGGAAACGAAGATGATCACCACCTTCAAGGCATATTATTTTTAGTTTGTATAAATTTCAACGTTCAATAAATAAATTTGGTCAAGGTTTTGTTTTACTTTTGCTTTTCATTCTTCTTTTTTTTATTTTAATTCTCCCACGTTTTCATCACAGCGCACTCTGCTAATTCTGCTGTACGTGAGCTTTGAAAAACTGCAAGCCGCTTCCTGGACTTAAGGTGAGTTTAGTTAACCGAAGTCCATCTCAGGAAAGAGCAAAGCTGACAATATAAATGTTTTTATTAAGTATATTAATATATACGTTACCTCGACATCTTTTGGATTGTGAATGGAAACGATTAGTCTGGGTCCAAGCCAAATTTTGGTAACATCTTTGTACTCAGGTTTTTGACTCAATCCATAAGCGAATTCCAAGATGTCTACGAAACATGAATTAACATTGTTACATTAATAATAATTAAAATTCCTTGGTATTGTAAAATCTGTAATAATTTTTGTGTGTAAATGATCATTATGCGAATGAGGTTTATTAATTTTTTTTCTCATTTATGAACTTGAAATTTAACAATTTCAACCAAATCTGAATTAATCGTGTAATTACATCCCATTCTGCTACAATAAAAATCCGATCTGAATAGATCCGGGAAGTTGGAAACATAAATTGAATCAACAAAGCTTGAAGTCCTTGACCTTGTACGGACAGCACTGTTTAATAAAGGCAACATAAAATATAATTAATCGTATGTAGTCCTTGTTTAATTTATGTTAAAACTGGTTGACAGTACAAGGTGCAATTCTTTAAAAAATAAACTTATTTCTGCATGGCGATTCATTTTGATTGCAAAATTACGATCCATTGTATTCTAATACTTGTTTTTGCTATTTGAACAAACTAATTCATTGTAATATATTTGTTTTGTCTTATTTAAAATTATGTGGTGTAATTAAACGATGGCGGTATTGATCGGGTTATTTCAGGGTCATTGATAAATTATGCCTTTTTCAAACAAGACCAAATACGTTACAATAAATATTTATCAATTGTATTGTTTTGTTATTATTGATTTTTTTTTGTTATATGAAAGTGTTGTTAAAACTAAAAATCTCCCACAGTGACAATGGGATTTTAATCATGCGTTCTACATATTGTAAACCTGTTGATTTTATTTGTTGATCTTTTATGATGGTTACATTAGCATTAAAAACAAAAACTCATACGGGTGTGATGCTTGGTGGTCAAATGGTGAAGATTGTCATTTAGAAAGGACATATAAAAATATTACATATAAAAATATTTGTCTTGGCCTATTATAAAATAAACAGCCTTGATGAGGTTTTAAATTAAAAATCAAAAATGTTTTTACATGTGCAAGTTTGAACTGTAAAGATATATTTAATTTCTAATTGTACAAATATTTCCCGAATTTTAAAGACAGTGAACAAAATGAACTTTTTTTAAAGAATAAAATGCTTACATCAAGCTTTTAAGAGGTAATCATTTATCTCAATTTAAAAAAAAAAGAAAATAGCATATAGCATGGCAATGTGGATGTGGATTGAAAAGTAAAATTTTAATATCACTTACTTTTTCTGTTTATATAAAAATAAAAAGAATGTATGGAACAAAATTCTATGGAAAAAATAAAAACGATAGAATTGTCAAATATAAATTAAAATATTTTCAATTTAACTGTAACATTAAAATAAAAATCAATGTATGATTAGCAGTCAAAATTGGCCATATTAATTATTTAAATTAATCATTATTTTTCATCTCAACCGAGACCTTAGATAACAAGAATAATTAATTTAAAAATTAAAGTAAAAGATGTCAGGCTTTTAAAAACAAATATTTAATATAACATTTCATCTCTTTACCTTTTGGAAATTAAGAAATAAAATGATCAACAAAACAATTTAAAAAAATAATAATGTAGTCAGGCAATCCAAAACTTAAAAAAATAGTCAATTATGTTTAGTGTTCTAATTGACGAAGTTACTTATTTCAATTAATTATTCTGAATTGAACAAATGAAAAATGCAATTTGCGAATAATAGAGGTAACATAGATCAATAAAATTTTCCATTGTATATAAAATAAAAACAAAATGTACTTTATATCATATAATTGAAGTTGCAACTAATTTATACTTGTTGTATTTGCAATATTCAGGACTAAATTTTATGCATTGTAAATAATGAAATAATTTAAAATAATTACTTTTTTGCTTTGATATCCCTGATTTGCTCAAGCTACTGCATTTGCAGTGCATACTTGCATAAAATTAGCCATAGATCTCCAAATTGTGAGACGTCCGATGAACCAGAAAACATCTTATAATTTTGACGTGCCTAGAATATGAAGACGCAAGACAGAAATTTGTCGATAGAGTGCATGCACTAAGAAATTTTGAGTAACCAATTTGTTGGGAAAGCTTGCTTTCAATATAAATATGGACTCAACTATAAATTGATATTCACTAATTTCGTGGTCCGCTTGACCAATTAATACTTTACAATTAATTAAGGTTTTTAGTTGAGATGAAAAAAAGTTAATGGCACGAGAGGGATTCGAACCCACGACCTTCGGCTAGATACGCCGCTGCTCTACCACCTGAGCTATCGTGACCTCGATCCACTCGGACATCAACTCTTCATCTCAAACCCACCTTATGAGTTTTCCCTCCTTTTGCCATTTTTCAAATGTCGTGTAATCGGTTTGGATTCTCGTCGACAATTGAAATGGCGACAGAGAGCTTTAGTGAGTTTGAAAAATGGCAAAAGGAGGGAAAACTCATAAGGTGGGGTTGAGATGGGGAGTTGATGTCCGAGTGGATCAAGGTCACGATAGCTCAGGTGGTAGAGCAGCGGCGTATCTAGCCGAAGGTCGTGGGTTCGAATCCCTCTCGTGCCATTAAATTTTTTTCATCTCAACTAAAAACCTTAATTAATTATAAATTGGTATATGCATTTTTGAAAGAATGTGATATTGATGTGATATACTGAGATAAAGACTTTAATGTCATTGTACATATGTGCTATGGTAATTATTTACTGTGTAAAACTATTTATTTCATTGTTCTGTGTTCCTTGTTTTAAATAATTAATTAAATTATTATTATGTGATGTGAACTTATGTATTTATTATACAATGTGTACATTAGTATACTATTGCTATATGCTTAAAGCAAAGCAATATAATAAAAAAAGTCTAGAATATTGGAGATGTAAATTATATACATACCTTCAGTAAGCCTCGTCATTTTCAATAAATTACATGGTGATTTTTTACTTCTTGTCTGTGTTCCTTCTTTTAATTGTTAATTAATTAATTATATAATGTGTATTTTTTTTTAAAGTTTGTAATATTGGAAATAATGTATAGAAATGCCTTCAGCAAGCTTTGTCATTTTCAGTAAATTGTATGCTGATTTTTTACTTCTTGTTCAGAGTTTCTTGTTTTAATAAATTAATTATCTAATGTGTATATGAGTATATTATTGCTGTATGCTTAAAGCAAAGCAATTTAATAATTTTTTAAAAGTCTGGAATATTGGACATGAAAAGTATAGAAATGCCTTCAGTAAGCTTTGTCATTTTCAATAAATTGTATGGTGATTTTTTACTTCTTGTTCTGTGTTCTTTCTTTTAATTAATAATTAATAAATTATATAATGTGTATATGAGTATACAATTGCTGTATTTTTTAAGCAAAGCAATATAATAAAAAAAGTCTGGAATATTGGAAATGTAAAGTATATAAATACCTTCAGTAGGCTTTGTCATTTTCAATAATTTGTATGGTGATTTTTTTTACAAAAGTCAATTGGGATTCTGTTAAATATGCTTTAATTCTCATTATTTGATCATAAGATTTTACGTAGTATGTTTTATGAAACATATTTTGTAATTTTTGTAAAATTATTTCAAATTTTTGAGCATGGACATGATTTCTTTCGATCACCACACGATCCCCACATTTACAACAAAATAACTATTATGTAATTAAAAAAAGGTAAAATAAAAAAAAAACATACTAAAAAATTAAGTAAACTTAGCTTAAAAAAATTGTTTTATACATAAAATTAGTAAGGGTACTTTGATTGACAGGGTAAGTGAGAGTTTTCTCATGTTTTCTGGATGGTTAAAGCTTTAAAACTAAGCTAACCATCCCCAAGCCTAGTTTCAAATTATCTTTCTTTGTAGATAAATTATACAGGGTACCTCAGGCCGAGTTCAACTTCACAATTTCAAATACGACCCTATATATCCTGACACATAATTTTAAAGGAATTTTTACGCTGAAAACAATGGTACAATCGGATTTTAAATTGGACAAAAAATGACAAAGTTATGTCAACAAAAAAAACAACAGTCATTTGGTTTGCTATTTATTAATCACATTTCATGTTCGAACTGCCTGTTTTGTGTAAAGATGCAAAGATTTGTCCTTTTTAACCACTCTTCACTGGTGCTCAGACCTCTCTACAGTCAGGGGAAATGGATTGACAAGCATTTTCTATTCTTTGCAGCAGTTCATCAACTGAGGTTGCTGGGTTATGATTGTCTTAGGCACTGTTTTTTAAATGGCCTCAGAGAAAATAGTCAAGTGGAGTTAAATCGGTTGACCAAGGAGTCCAAAACTCCTATCCACCTATCCCGGAAGTGACGATTCAAATAACGTTTCAACTGCAAAGAATTGCGGGGTATCCATCAAGCTGGAGAATCATTCTTTGTCGTTATCGCAGAGGAACATCGTCTAACAGCATTGGTAAACTCCCATCAAAAAATTGAGGAACTGAACACCATGTTCGTAGAAAAAAAGGTCCAATTAATTTATCTTCAACAAGTCCACACCAAACGTTGATACTGTGAACGACCTGATGATGACAAGAGTACTAAATTATCGGATTTTCGTCTGCCCACGTTTGAAAATTCCAACGGTTGAGTATGCCATTAGAGGTGAACTTGGATTCATCAGCCCATAGGATATATGGAAGATTATTTTCTCCGACCTCCCAAATCGACATTTGTGCAAGGAATTTTAGACGCCTATCATAACTAGAGTCCCGAGGTCCCTGGACGGGATCAGAGCGATACGGCTTCATATTGTAAGTCCGGAGTACATCTCTAATTGTATTTTTTGAAAAACCTAAAACCCTTCCACCATTTCGGAGAGAGGAATTCGGATTTTCGCGAACAAACGGTAAAATTTATTTAGAAATCGTGAGATGCGGTCTGGTGTGATGTAGGTTTCAGAAAAACAACAAACATATCGTGCCAACGTTTCGATCTTTATTGAGATCATCTTCAGCGCTCAAAGTGTTTGTCTTCTGTGTAATTGTGCCTTTCTTGCGTGTCGTGTTGAGAGTGCCAGTCAATATAATTATCGATTAACGGTCACTAACCACCACACAGCATACTAATTTAAGTGTTAAACAAAATAAAATTAAAAATTTTTGATTTTTAATAAAAATTATTTAATTATGTTGTTTTAAAAGAAAATTCACCAAAAACCGGAAAATCTTTTAGTGGTAGATTAACTAACAATTTATTACCTAGTTTTGAAAATTACGTGTATTACCTCCTTTGACCTTGCGGAGGGCCTTAAGTCTCCTAAGCATCGAATAAATAAGCGATCGGATTTCCTCTTTATTCCACCCCATACCATAACTGTCTTTGAAAAGCTTTGACGCATGGCACATGAAGCAAAGTGTTCTCCACACATGGTCCCGGGCATCTGATGGTCACAAACCACACCGGCATTCGTCAAGAGAAACACCCCCATTGTTCAAGTGCCCAAGCGAGTTGCTGATTTGCGAAAAGTCTTCACTCCATTCATCTCTAGTAATAGAGAACCTGATTCGGGAAGTCTAGAGACTAGATTATTCTCACGAAACCTCCGATGGATGTTTTAGAGCTCACCCGTACATTACGGACCGTTTGGAGTTGACTACCTATCAAGGAAGCCCTTAAATGAAGGTTGCGAAGTGCGGTAAGAGCAGTAAAACGATCGTCTCTAGTCTTCGTACATCGCGGTCGACCACAACTTCTCTTCCATAAAGACTCTTCTAAACCGCTAGATCATCGTGGATCGCATACCCAGGGCTTATGTAACGGAAGCTACTTCGGTGGTCAAGCCCTGGCGAGATCTTGTCGGCTTTTAACCATGCTTTTAATAAAAATTAATAATTGATTTTTTGTGAGATTTCCATTCGGGGATTCGAACCCACGACAACCGGTTTACTTTAGACTAGAGACTAAATGTTAGCGTTTACTTTAGTCAAGAGACTAAATGTTAGTGTTTACCCCATTACAGTTCGTGGTCCGATTGACCAATTAACATTTTTCAATTAATTAATATTTATGAAAGGTATTGGTTGAGATAAAATAATTTGTCGCTGAGAATCAAATAGATTACGCGACATTTGAAAAATGGCAAAAAGGAGGGAAAATTCAAAAGGTGCGGTTGATATGGGAAGTTAGTGTCCGATTGGATCGAAGTCACGGTAGCTCAAGTGGTTACAGCAGCGGCGTATTGAGCCGAACGTCGTGGGTTCGAATCCCGCTCGTGACACTGACATTTTTATCTCAACCAATACCTTTCATAAATATTAATTAATTGAAAAATGTTAGTTTTTACTTTAGACTAGAGACTACTAAACGTTTATTTTAGACTTGAGACTAAATGCTAGTGTTTACTTTGACTAGAGACCAATGTTAAAGTTTACTTTAGGCTAATGTTTATTTTAGAACTAGACTAAAAAATTTTAAACAAATATATATTTTTTTTTAATAGCGTCATTGTTCAAGAGAAATTCAGCCGGACCATCTAAAAAGGACACCCCGTATAATCAATTCAAGAGATCAATTATTAATTGATTATTGACTAAAGATTATTTATATTATATAGATGGTTTCCAAGCGTTAAAAATGAAAATTTTCAGTAGATTTCAAATCAATAGCCTTAAAATAATCTATTTGATAATAAACTAACTAAGTTTGTGAAGTGCACGAATTTATTCATAGTTTGATAAATTAAATAAAGGTAAACATTTGAAACTAGACTAAAAACTATTAGACACGTATTTTTTTATAGCGTCATTATTGAAGAAAAATTCAGCCGGGCCGTCTAAAAAGGACACCCTGTATAAATGTTCTTCAAAAAAGGTAGAAATTTGAAACTAGTCTAAAAAATATTAAACACGTTTTTATTTATTTATTTATTTTTTTAATAGCGTCATTGGTTCAAGGGAAATTCAGCTGGACCATCTAAAAAGGACAATTTGTATACTCAGTTCAAGAGATCAATTATTAATTGATTATTGACAAAAGATTATTTAATTCTTTTTAAAAAGGATTGAACACCACACTCACTCTATCATTTACCATTTCTAAAGATTATTTATGTTATATAGATGGTTTTCAAGATTTTTAAGGGTTAAAAATGAAAATTTTCAGTAGATTTCAAATCAATAGCCTTAAAATAATCTATTTGATAATAAACTAACTAAGTTTGTGAAGTGAACGAATTTATTGGTACCTTTATAAATTAAAATGCCGATTAAACATAAATGGTCTTATTTGAATTTTTGAAGTTGAACTCGGCCTGAGGTACCCTGTACAATTTTTCTCCAAAGAAAGGTAAAAATTTGAAACTTGTCTACAAAATATTAAACAGGTTTTTTAAATTTTTTAAATTAATTAATTCTTTTAATAGCGTCATTGGTTCAAGAGAAATTCAGCCGGGCCGTTTAAAAAGGACACCCTTCATACTCAATTTAAGAGATAAATTATTATTGATTATTGAAGATTATTTATATCGTATAGCGAAGGCTCAGTTAAAAAAAGCTGCATACTGTTTAAACTGGCTGTTTACAGAAAATAATTTTGGACGAATGTTGTTCTCACTGAGCATAAAATTGTAATACATTGACGTACCGTTGTGGTTTTTGAACATCACGTGCAGGGCGAGTCCGACGAACGGTAGTCCTTTTTCACCAGGGATCTTTTCAGCCAGTTCGTACATGTGCTTCCTGCCAGCCCTCCAGCTCCAGTAGTAGGTGAGGGCGGCCACGCCTGCCAGGGCCAGTAATATGAGGAACATCTTTATTCGACTCCCGGTAGAAACTGGCTTCTCCTGCTTGGTCCTACGCTTTTATAGAATGACAGCTTGAGGATAGAGTTTCGCGATTATCATATTCATAGACTCATTGTTTGATTAGTTTTAGTATTAATGAAGGCGATTGGCATTCCGTTTAATTACCCGTTGGGTGACAATATTTTTCTACGATTTCTGGCAATGGTGGCGTAATCGTATGTAATACGGTGTTAATACTTTATTAATTTTTTGGTCTCCGAGGTCGCTATGGTTTTTTTCCCCTGGGGATTTACGGACGGCTATGGTCAGGACCAAATATGTACCGGCGGTCCTTGGCTCTCTTATCCTACTTACGACTTTACATAGTTTGGTCATACAGCATAAAAAAAACTCGCAAGGTAATATCCAAAAATTGCACATCTTCTGGGAAATAAAAACTTGTCAGATTAAAGATGATTCTTAATTTAAAAACCATTATCAACCATTGTAGCAGCTTCCCTCCAGGCTCCTGTTAAATTTCAACGTGTAACAAATGGTAAAAATAAATCTCTATTTGGAAAACGGTTTTTTAATTACATTATTTGTTATTTGCAACTACAAATATTGTATTAAGTAAATGTCTTCTTTTTATGGTGAATATGTCGTTTAAATAGAAGAAATTATCAAGAACGTTGAGAATTTGAAATTTTGTTTGAGACCCACATTTCACGACCGTTCGTGCAGAGAGGTTTAGAGCAGTTGTAGAGAGGTATCTGCAGTGTATATTGAAAAAAGAAGTGAACCGAGTATGCTACCCTGAGGGAAACCCGCCCAAATGCGACAATTCAGTTCCCTGACTCGGCAAAATCGGTCCGTCAGATATTAACTCAGTATGAGAAAACGTTAATTGCTAATTTTATCAAGCTCCTACAAAACCATATTTGAACGTTAATTCTAAATATTATTATGTACATACAACCAGAACGATCGTTGTGATGATTTTGCTTGAAGATCCTTGGAAAGAGAAAATACTCTCGATTTATTTGAAACTATTTTGTTAAGATGTATAAAACATTTATATATTCAATTTATAAAGAAATAAATAAAATGCAATATAATAATAAATAAAAAATAATTTTAAGAATAATTATTCAGAAATCTTGAGATGCGGTCTCGTGTGATGTAGGTTTCAGAAAAACAATTTCTTTATCGTGCCTATTATCTAGAACAATTTTTCTTATTTGAGAGAAACATGCGATGATATTGATTATCTTATTGTGTTAATGCCTATAAATTTTTAATTTTAGATATGTAGAGATAAGGATAGATAGAGGTAGAGATAGATAGAGAGAAAGACAGATAGATAGGTAGATAGATAAATAGAGAAAGAGAGAGGGAGAGATAGAGGGAGAGAGAGAAAGAAAGAAAGAGAGAGAAGGAGGGGGAGAGAAAGAGGAAGAGAGAGAGAGAGAGAGAGAGAGAGAGAGAGAGAGAGAGAGAAAGAGTTAGTCTGTAAGTGAGAAAGAATTGAAAAGAGGATAAAAAAGAAGAAAAAGAAAAAATATGTTCAAAAGAATGGGAGAAAGTTAAAGAAGGGAATAAAAAGAAGAAAGAGAAAAAACATATTGAGATTGATTGATAGCATTTTATTTGGCCACGCAGAATAAGGTCTCTTGGCCATCTCTTACATCTAACTTGGGTTATAATTTATATATAAACATAAACGTGATAATATAAAAACATTAACGTATATTAACATAATATTCAGGCTTACATATTTTATAGTTTTGAATTAATCTGATGAATTATGTAAAAATATTATTTTATGATGTATCATATTTGGTAACTTACAGGTGGGATAGTAAATGTGAAAAGTGAAATGCAAAACATAATCATTTTTCAACAGAATGGCCTAGCAAAAAATGTGAAAATAGCTTAGCAAGAAAAAAAATTTGTAATAGTATTCTCACGGGGGCGTCGGTGGCCGCAAGGCGGTCTTTGACACGGCGCTCATCACTGTAAGGTAAAGGTCCCGGGTTCGAATCCAGCGGCCCTGCATTCGAACCCGACATACTTACAAATGGGCTTTTTTTCAGCAACACCGGCACCCTGAGGGTTTATATGACCTCTGCTGTTGCGAACCCTTGTTAAAAAAAAAAAAATAAAATAAAATAAATAAATATTATTCTCCCCAAAACAACCTCGAATAATTTTTTTTTTTAAATCATAATTTTTACCTCCTAAATGCCTCCGATTTTTTAGGTCAGATGGAGTTTGAAATCGATAGAAGTAAATATATCTACAGAAAGATAAATGTATAGAAAGCGATGGATAAAGCGGGAGAGAGAAAAAGTGGAAAATTTTTATTTAGGGGCCTCTCGAGATGCTAAAACGAAATTTCATATAACTTTTTCATATAAAATTTTATGACCTAGTTTACTTGAAAAATATTTGCTTTTTAGATATTTTTTGATTATTGACCAACTTTGATAGCCTTTACTATATTTGTATTGCAATCTGCATAAAAAATGCTGTAAAATGATATATTCACATAGTAGATTTGAGCAAGTAGAACGGCGAAATAAAAATATACATACACACAAAATTTCAACTTTCAAAAAAAAAAAAAAATGGCTAAACCAATGTCTATTCACAAGAAATTGCGGATAAGTGTCCAATATCACACCAACCTGGTCCTCCCTTGTCAGTAGCTAAAGACAGAGAAAATAATTTCCAGACAAGCAAAGAACTTTTTCAATTGATTCAAACTGTTGCCAACCCCAATCCTGGCAGACATAACAATGGCTGGAACGGCAAACAGCGTCAAATAAACTGAATTTCACTTTGATTGGAACGACATCATTTGACATTAGTGACGGCCAAGTTCTGTATTTTGCAGTGGATGCTTTCATAGCAAAATGTTTAGTCCAATAAAGTTTGGGTGCAAAGCCACTCCCAAATATTTATATTCATTTACCACCTGGATCCCCATGTCCTCAAATTTTAAAAAATGTGTACAGTATAAAAATATGAGTAATGTGTGGTGATTAGTGACCGTTAGTCGATGATTATTCGGAAATCGTGAGATGCGGTCTGGTGTGATGTAGGTGTTAGAAAAACATTTTCTTTATCGTGTCAACGTTTCGATCTTTATTGAGATCATCTTCAGGGCCTGGGAGTTACAAACATTGTTTAAATTTAACTAATACATGTAGGATGTGGAAAAAAGTGAATTTATACAAGGCAAAAAATATATTTTTTATATTCAATCAAAGTATTTCTACTCACCCAAAGTTTTGTCTTCTGTGTAATTGTGCCATTCTTGCGTGTCGTGTTGAGAGTGCCAGTGAGATTTTGCTGTTTTATTAATTAATTGTAATTTTAAGAGTTAAATTGTTTAAAGAGTGTTCTTCACAACCGAAAGTTTTGCATTATTTGATTATGGATATTTTAAAAATGAAAAATTTCTTATGCTATTTGGAAATGTTTTATAAAAAAAACTTTGGTATATATATGATTATTCGGAAATCGTGAGATGCGGTCTGGTGTGGTGTAGGTTTCAGAAAAATATTTTCTTTATCGTGCCAACGTTTCGATCTTTATTGAGATCATCTTCAGGGCTCAAAGTGTTTGTTTTCTGCGTAATAGTGCCATTCTTGCGTGTCGTGTTGAGAGTTTTTCTGAAACCTACATCACACCAGACCGCATCTCACGATTTCCGAATAACCATCGACTAACGGTCACTAATCACCACACATTTCTGTATATAAAATTACTAATTATTTTATGCATAACACACCATCTTATAACAAAGTAATAAACTCTAAGATTTTTATCAATTATCAAATTCTGAAATTATTTTCAGGCTTGATCTTTAAATCTTCTTTTAAATTATCTTTGGTCTTAGTTTTTGTTGTTGTGTGTTGTTCATGATTAAATTTTAGGAAAAATAACTGAAATTTTTACCAAGTCTTTTGGGTGGCTTGATTATAAAAGTTATTGCCATCATTGACGATAGCGAGTAGAAAACTGCCAAGAATCAGGCGCACAAACCTCTCTTGAAATATCATTGTCTTTCCAAACTGTTGACAATCTCTATGCGAGAACTGAATAATGCATATTGAATGCTTTGATAACGCTGAATTTTGGAACAATAAAATTTCTTAGATGGAAAAACGTTCAATATGAGCTCATTTTTATTAATTTATAAGCAGAAAAAAATTCCCACTTCCGATTAGTTTTAAATTAATTGACACCTAGGTTTTTGCAACGTAATGAAATTTAGAACAGTGGTTTTTAATATTCAGTGTTTGAAACGGAGTAATAAATTTTCCGCGTAGGCAATTTAAATAGGGTGATTCGTGTTTATTAAGCCTTAAGGCCATCTTGCAAAAACAAGGTCAATTTTTATTGGCTTTATTTAAAAATAATCACAAATTTAAATAGCATAAAGTAGGAAGCTTGCATCATATATGACTTGGAGAGAGATATACAGTTTTGATATAATAATAATAAATCTAGTATAAATTCATAAGAAAGGAAAGACAGAAGTAGCAATGGTATTTATCAAAAATTTCAACCAGCTCTCAAACCAAAAATACCACCTCAATGGTGACTAATCTATGAAGTCTGCAGCTGGGAGACTAACCCCTAATAGCCAAAAGGAGATCTACATAGATTTTTGGATAAAGCATATAGTTAGGGGCAAAGGCTATTATATTATTATTTATTAAATTATTTTTCAAGAATTTTTTTTTGTGCTGAACCGTGTGAAAAGTTACATTCTTTTGGGTATCCTCTTTACCTGAACTATTGCGTCATTATGCACATTTTTTTGGTGGGGGGGGGGTTACGCTGGCATGAAGTTTTCTATTTTCATTTTACTGTCGAGCGTGATCGGCCGACCAGGAACAGGTCCCCGCCGCGCGCCCGCACCCACTCATTCAGTTCCATCATCTTCTTATCTTCTAAATTTTCATGGTTGAAGATAATCAAAAAGAAAGGTTTATCGACTTTAGAAATCCATAGATTTTGTTGAAAGCTGATGGATTGTTGCTTA